AAATTCAATAGCATTCTCCTTAACCAATAAAATTAAAGAAGAGATTAGTTTCTATAATTAAATGATAAAGCCAGAACAACATGTGGAATTTGTGGGACACAATGAAAGCAGGCCTACAAAGATATTTATAGTGGTGAATATCTATATCAGAAAAACAGAATGAGCTCAAATAAGCAACCTAACATTGAACCTCAAGCTTCTAGGAAAAAAAGAGCAAGTGAAGTCCAAAGTTCAAATAGGGGAGAAATTATAAAGATCAGAGCAGAAATTAGTGCAATGGAGTCTAAGAAAACAATATAAAGAATTAATTAATCAAAAAGTTGGTTCTTTGAAAGATTAAATAAAATTGACAAATTCTTAGCCAGCCTTATCAAAAAAGGAAAAAGTCAACTTCTGGGAGAACATGGCGGACAGATAACAGCAGCCATGGAGGCTCTCTGAGATTACCAGTTTAGAATCCAGGAGTGGTGCTGTGTGAGGAGTCCTATGCTAGAGGAGGTGTACCCTGCCAACCCAGGAACGAACTAGGCTGAGAGAAACCAACTGGAAATGCACTCCTGATGTTATAACAGGCACAGATAAAATCTCAGTGTGGAAGCTGGATCCTGTGCCATTGGAAGCCGCGATTTGAATTTCCTGCTGCCGATACTGCATCCCAATCCGCACGGCAAGGAGAGAGACGTGCAAAAGCTCTGAGAGTTGGAATCGGCAAACCAAATGGCATTGAGAGCAGGACTGGCAGGTAGCCCTGCATCAACCTGCGGTGAGTGAGAGAAATGGGGACCCTTTCATAGACTAGGAGGCTCCAACAGAGGACATTCTGGGAACGAGCAGACTAGCCGGAACAGGGCCCTGCAGTGACTTTAGTCGCATATTCCCCTCTCAAGCGGGAGTGGTGGGGAGCGCTTGGCCTGGTGACACCGCGGACTGAGATCCAGTAGGCTAGCCCAAATCAGGTCCCTGTGCCTGGCAGTACACCCTAGGAATGAAGCATTCAGTAGGTTGACCTGGAGGGGCGGGCCCAGCAGAGGCTGCCCAGGTCTGTGTCTCCCTAGTACACTGCAGTGGGCAGGAACATCTAGCTGGCAGATTCAAACAAACTGTAACAGACAAAGAGAAAAAAAAAAAACTGGGCCTCCTACATACGCTTGTATGGAAGGAACAAAAAGTATGGGAAAAGGGAGCAACAAGAAAGGGTCCTCAGTCCCCAATCCTAGAACACTGATCCAGGAAAGGTAAATGCAAAAGAGAATGAAAACAGAAAGCATGCAATATCAGACACGGCACCTATAGACATAACGCGATGCCTCATAGACAAGTTCAAAAATGAAGTATTTAATGAAATAAAGCAAGAAATAAGTAGAATAGTTAGAGGAATGCTAAGCACCGCCCAAGAAAAAAACAGATGGTGGAATGGCAGAACAGAAAAAAAGGGGGAGAATTGTTTGATGGAGAAAATAGAGAAAACATAGAATACGTGAAGCAGGTTCAAAGAGATTACCAGGAAACTAAACACTTTATTGAAAGCTGGCATAACAGCTTGAAAAAAACTAAGGAAAGATTAGCTGAACCGGAGGACAGATTTGTAATGTGGGAGCATGAAATGAAAAACTTCTTAAAAATAACAAGGAAACAAACAACAATAATACAAAGACCAGAAGATGATAAGAGGATCTATAACTTAAGAATTAAGAACATAAAAGAAGAAGTAGGGACTCAAACAAATGAACTACAAAAGCTATTCACAGAAATAATCCAGGAGAATTTCCCTAATTTAGCAGAAGGTAAAGATACTCAGATGTATGAGGCATACAGGACCCAAGCCACCTACAACCCAAACAGAACTACACCCAGGCATATAATAATCAAAATTCCAAACATACAATATAAGAACAGAATATTAAAAGTCATCAGAGACAAGAAACAGATCACTTACAAGGGAACACCCATCAGAATTATAGCAGACTTCTCGGCACAAACCATCAAATCACGAAGAGCGTGGGGAAATAATTCAAGCTTTGAAATATAATAACCTCCAGCCAAGATTGATATATCCTGCACAACTGCCCCTAGAAATTGACGGAAAAACAAGATGCTTCCAGGATAAAGAGGAACTAGGGGAATTTGCAACCACTAATTCAACTCTACAGAGAATACTGCAGGACATTCTAAAAAAAGAAAAATACCAAGATTCCAGAAACAGTGGCAGAGAGGCTACAATGAATGGAGGAGAAAGCAAAATGAAGAAGACAAAATGACAACTAATGACAGAAAAAGATCTCAACAGAAATGAGGCAGAGAAGATTGGATGGTAGGAACAGCTATTTTGGAGAAAACAAGACATCATAATAGCTAGTGCTGATTTAATACCATCTTGTTTTGAAGTCCCATCAAGCTTTTGCTCTTCTGTCTCCATCGATTTTAATGTGTTATCTTATTGGATTTTATTATATGTGATAATATAAACAAAACCTTTTATAGACAAGGAGATTATACAGAAACCATTGTTCATTTTCTGTTAGTTGATTCTAAATACCCTGTAATACTGTCATTCTCTTGAACGGTTTTACATTGTCTTGATACATTTGATGCTACAGTATACGAAGTTATACCCAAAGATTTTAAGGGAAGAGACACTATGGTAACTACTATTATGTTGAGATTATCTTGTGGTGACACACTATTTTGCTTAAATGGCTATGTTTTGACCTGTGCTGTTTTGTTGTTATGCCCTCTTTTTTATCTCAATCTCCTTTTTATTACCAATTTTTCATTTTTATCCTTTTAATTAAGGGAAAAATAAATAAAAAATAGCAGGATATATTATAGTAACCCACTTTGATTTCCTATTAACTTGATTTGAAACTCTGTATTGCTCTCACCATCTTGTTTTGACCGATTTTCCTCTATTCTGTTATGCTTGATAGTACCAAGTTTGAAAGTCTAGGCAACAACTATGAAGACAATAAGATTCAATGTGATGCCCATTCTGGTTGACTATTATCTTCTTTTGAAGTCCTCTAATGTCTCCAATGTTTTGGTTTTATTGGACTTATTCTTTACTGTTTTGTTCAATTTTATTATAACTGATGATATAGGCAATTCTTTTTAAGATAGAAAGAGGCATTATGGTAACCATTGTTGATCACCTTGTATTTTGTTTTTATATTATGTATTATGTCCATCCTTTTGATTTGACTGACTCTGTCCTGGTATGCCACATTTGGTTTTACTTTCTTCAAAAAAAAAAAAAGTAATAAGAACTGTGGGAGTAATAAAACCCAAAATGTGTAATTGTCATTGTACAAAAGAAAGGAAAAGAAAGTTCTCTAAAAGATATAACTGCATATATATTTAAGTGTATAAGACAGATAACCATATTACTGAGTTTTGTTGGATCATTAAACAAAACTGTTTGCAGTCTCACTGTTTGAGAGTCCCCTATATATGTTTTAATTTTGTAACTTCAACAACTATTTCTAAGAAGACAATATGTAATTAACTAGTGATTTCCTACTGTTTATTTTTCTGAAATTCTGTATAACTTGTACCCTTTTTCTTTTTTTTTCTTTTTTCTCCTTAAATAAAATTTTAAAAAAAAGGACAAAGCCTCAAATCTATGCAATTAGAAATGAAAAGGAACAGGGGCTAGGGATTTAGCTCAGCGGCATAAGGGCCTACCTTGCAAGCAGGCAGTCATGAGTTCGATCCCCAGTACCAATAAGAAAGAAAAAGACAAAAAAAAAAAAAAAATGAAAAGGAAGAAATTACAACAGATCCTGAAGAAATCATCAATACATACTTCAAGAATCTGTACTCTAATAAGATGGAAAACCCAGAAAGGAATAAAAAGATTCCCAGATATATGTGAGCTACCAAAGCTGAATCAAGAAAATATAAAAATCCTAAATAACCCAGTATCAGTCAGTAAAATTGAAGATGTAATTGAAAACCTACCAACAAAGAAAAGCCTGAGCCCTGCAGGATTCAATATTAAATTCTACAAGAAATTTAGGGGAAATCTAACGCCACTACTTCTCACACTCTAATGAAGCTGAAAGGCAAGCAATACTCCCATCTGCATCCCTGGAAGCAAGCATCAGCCTGATACCCAAACCAGGGAAGGACCCAGTCTAGAAAGAGAACTACAGGCCAATCTCCCTGATGCACACAGATGCAAACATTCTCAGTGAGATACTGGAAACAATGCAACAAATCAGGAGGATTATATACCACGACCAATAGGATTCATCACAGGGACTCAAGGATGGTTTGTATTTATACTTATCTTTGTACCAGGGATTGAGCTCACGACTTCACACTTGGATGGTTCAATATATGCAAATCAATAAATGTAATATACTGTATCAACAAGCCAAGTACAAAAACCACATAATCACCTCAATAAATGTAGAAAAAGCATTTGACAAAGTCCAACACCTATTCATGATTAAAAAAAAAACCTACAGAAAATCAGAATAGATGGTGTTCATCTCAATCTGATAAAAACCATCTATATAACAAACCAACAGCCAACATCATACTAAATGGACAAAGACTGAAAGCTTTACTTCTGAAATCAGGATCAGGACAAGGATGTTCACTGTCACTACTCTTATTCAATATAGTTCTGGAAACATTAGCCAGAGCAATTAGACAAGAGAAAGAAATAAAAAGAACAATGACAGGAAAGGAGGAAGTTAAATTATCATTATTTGCAGTTGGCATAATATTCTACATAGTAGACCAAAAAACTCCATCAAAAGACATCTGGATGTTGTTTATTTTTGTTTTTTGAGACAAGGTCTCACTGTGTAGTTCAGGATGGCCTTGTCACTGTGGGACCTATGCTGGCCTTGAATTCATGGAGATGCTCCTGCTTCAGCCTCCTGAGTGCTGGGATTACAGGTATGCACCACCATGCCCAGCTAGGAAGATATCTTGATTTAATAGCCAAATTCAGTAATATAGCTGGATACAAACTCAACGCTGAAAAATCATATTTAGAAATTTCTTGTTTATTACTGCTAACATTTTTGTATCATCCCTTTCCAATTATGTCAGGACAAAGTCGGCTCATGTTACCAATAATCTGTTCACTGTTTCACTTTTGACAATGTTTGTTGTTTGACGTCAAATTCACTGTTAATTCTCTTCACAGCATCTAATCGGTTATTATTCCATTCCATTGTACTTTTTACCTCAGACCTTGATTTTGGATCTTTTAAATGTTTTCTCCACATCTGCTATGTCTTCATTTAATGTGCTGAATCTTTCTTCTGTCTTCTTGACCATATGACATTTTATATGAATATATGCCTCTTTAACATCCTCATCTACTATCAAATCATGTGTTGTCTGAATTTCTCTTTATTGTTTTATTTCTTTTTTATTATGAATCATATTTTCCTTATTATTTCTATGCGCGGTAATTTTTGGCTCCAAGCAAGATATTGTGAGTTTTTGAGGGATGCTCAGTCTACCCTGAGGCTGACAAACTCTGATACTGAGTTAATTTTTCTTTATTACTGCAGCGGAACCCTCTGACACTGTCCCCAGGCCATGTGAGTTACCCAGTTTTCCCCTCGGGTAGCTGGGAAAGGAAACTGTTCCCAGCCCCATGTAAGCACTGCTCCTCTTGAGGGGGTGTTCTACTGACCTTGCTAGTACCACAAGTGAGTGTGTCTGAGTGTGATAACATTCATGATCTGCTCTTAGAGATTTTTTTTGTTGCTTTAGAGGAATAAAATGTAACAAAATAAAACAGAATGAAGCCAATCAAAACAAAACAGTGAAAGTGATACAGGGCTAGCCAGGCGTGGTGGCTCACACTTGTAATCCCAGCACTCAGGAGGCTGAGGCAGGAGGATCATTGCAAGTTCAAGACCAGCCTGGGCAACAAAGTGAGCTCAAAGCCAGCCTGAACTGCATAGCAAGAACCTGTCTCAAAAAGAAAAAAAAAAAGAAAAGTGATACAGGGTTTCAAAACACACTAATGGGAAATCGACAATGGCTACCACAGTATCTCCTGTTATCTTCACAATAGTTGTCACACCATTGGGCATGGTACAATCAAAACAAAGCAGAATAAAACCAGTCAAAACAGAACACTGAATAAAAAGACAATAAATCAGAACAAAACAGTGAGAACAATACTGGATTTCAAAAGCAAGTCAGAAAGAAATCCCCATATTTGCTGTTCTGCGTACATCATCCTCCTAATAGATGCTCAGACTGCTGGCCCCAGTCCTGCAAAGTCCTATGGACTTAAAATAAATTCCTCTTCTAGGGCTTTTTGGGAGGGAGGAAAGATTAAGAGCAGTTAGTATTCTTTAAACATTTAGTAAATTTCTTGTTTTCTCATGATGGGCTTGGCAGGCTGCACCTGCGTAGATATTTATCAGTTTCTTCTGGTTTCCAAGTTGTTGCCATGTAATTGTTCACAGTAGTCTCATTTCAGTGGTATCAGTTTTAATGTCTCCTGTTTCATTCCTTAGTTTTTTTGAATATTATTTTTTAGGTATAACTAACGGTTTGTGGATCTTGCTTATTTTTGTAAAAATCCAATTTTTGCTTCGATGGATTTGTTTTATTATCTCAAATTTGAATTTCATCTATTTCTGTAATCATTCTGCCTTCCTTCTATCTTTGGACATAGTTTGTTCTTTTTCTAGTTCCTTGAGGTATAAAGTTAGGTTGCTTATTTCAGATTTTTCTTTTTATATTTTGTGTTTATTTCTGTAAACTTCCTTTTAAGAACTTGGCTGCACCCCATGGTTTTGGTATTTTTTATTCCATTTTTGTTTATCTCAAGACAGATTTTTATTTCCTTCTTGATTTCTTATTTGCCGTATTAGTCCAGAAGTGTGTTAATTTCCACATATTTATGAATTTTCCCGTTATTGATTTCTAAGTTCATATCTTTATGGTTGGAAAAGATACTTGATATTATTTCAGTTTTCTTCAGTTTGCCAAGGCCTGCTTCCCGGATGCCTGTGACGTGACTTGGAAACACTCTGTGCGTGCTTGAAAATAGTAAGAACTAGAGTGGGAGAGGGGGAAAGAAGGAAGAGAAAAGAAAAAATGATTTAAAAAAGGATAAAATAGAAACAAAGCTGTAGGTAGAGAGGGGAAGATGGGCTAAAGGAAGGGGACAGGATTGGGGAAAAAGAGGAATCAAAATAGATCGTGCACAGGTACAAATTTCCTATGGTGACTACGATCATTTTGCGTATCTCAATGTACCAAAACACTTAGTTTAAAAGAAGAATAAGTATCCGGCTCCTTTCTAATGGCATGTTTTGCATATGTTAGGTCTGTCTGGTTAGGGCGAAGTTCAAGTCACTGCCCCTTATCGATTTTCTCTCTGGATAACCTCTTCACTGATCATGTGGGTTTGAAATTCCCTACTACTGTTGTATTGTGGTCTATCTCCCTCTTCGACTATGTCGATATTTGCTCTATTATATTTAAATATTTACACCCCCTTTGGCAGAGCACATGTATTTAGATATTCCGATGTTGCATGCATATGTGCTTGCAACAGTTACAGCATCAATACACTGATCTCTTATCCTTCTGTGATGACTTTGTTTGTCTTCTTTTTACTTAAAGTCTATTTTGTTTGACATGAGTACATCTACCTCTGCTCTCTGTTGGTTTCCTTGTCTATGTAATATCTTTTCCATCTTTTCACTTTCAGTCTTAAAATCTAATGTCAGACTCCTGGAAGCAGCCTCTCATTTGGTCTTTTTCTACTCCATCCAGCCACACTTATACATTTAGATGGAAAATTTACACTTAATAATTGATAAGCCTGCTAAGCACAAGGTCATGAGTTTGATTCCAGGAACAAAAAAATAATAATAATTGATAGGTAAGGAGTTAAGTCTCTTCTGATGGTTCTACAGATCATTTCTTTATTCTTCTCGGTTTTTCTTGGTGAATTAGCTTTTTCTACTGTGGTACACTGTGTTCTTTCCTCTTGTGTGTGGACCTGGTTAGATTCTTGCTTTTCCATTACCGTAAGGCTTATGTAAGCCACTTATGCTAAACACAGTCTGCTTAAAGCTGATAATAACATGGACACTTTTGCCTCTTTCTTTCCTTTGTATGTTGTTTTGATGTCACAATTTACCTCTTTGCATACTGTGTACCTATTAAGAAATTATTGTAGCTACTGTTATTTTTCATTCTTTCATGCTTTAACCTAGTTAAAATGTTTGTATACATCATTACAGTGTTAGAGCATTCTATTTACATTTACTGTTACCACTGAGATTTATACTTCTGTGTCTTTGTATTACACTACTTAGCACCCTTTCATTTCAGCTTAAAGAATTCCCATGAGCATTTCTTCAAAAGTGAGTCTAGTGATGATGGACTCTCTCAGTTTTTGTCCAAGAGAACCTTTATCTTGCCTCAACTTTGCAAGGTGAAAGTAATCTGGGCTCTTTTGATTCTACTAGAATTTTTATTAAATCATCTCTCTCTCTCCTGGTCTATAAGGTTTCTGCTGAGAATCAACTGATAGTTTTTTTGAGGTTCCTTTATCTATGAAAGTTCACTTTTGTCTTGTTTCTTTGAATAAAGTTTGTATTTGCTTTTTGCCAGATTGACAGAAGACGAGTTAGTTAAAGCTCTCTTTGAGTTGAACCTCTTTGGAGCTCTCAGATTTGAGAAGTTTTTAGCCACCTTGTCTCTAGGCACTTTGCTTGCTTCTCTCCCATATTTCTCCATCTAAAAGTTACAGATTTTAATTCTTTTGATGGTTTCTCGTAGACCTTGTGGGCTTTCATCATCTCTCTTCATTCATTCCCCCCATTTTCTCCTCCTCTGAGTAGTTCCAAACGACCTATCTTCAAGCTCACGGAGTCTTTCTTTGTTTGATCAATCTATTCTTGACTCACTAGTAGCCTTCTTTGGCCTCAGAATTTCTACTTAGTCCTTTTTTTCTTTCTAATTCTGTTTGCTTACTTTGTTCATGCAGAGGGTTTTTGGTTTTTTGTTTGTTTGTTTGTTTGTTTTGGTGAAGGGGGTCTTATTTTGTTCAGTTATTTATCTGAATTCTTGTAGCTTCCTGAGCTTCATTATGACAATTCTTTTAATAATATGCCAGGCTATTTTTAGATTTCCATTTCTCTCTCTCTTTCTTTTTTTTTTTTTTTTTTTTGGTCTTTTTCAGACAGGGACTCGCTATGCAGTTCAGGCTGGCCTTGAGCTCACTCTGTAGCCCAGGCTGGTCTCGAATTTGCAAGGATCCTCCTGCCTCAGCCTCCCAAGTGCTGGGATTACAGGAGTGCGCACCCATGCCTGGTTTAATTTCCATTTCTTTGGGATCCGTTCCTGAAACATTGTTTGTTTTGGCATCACCACGTCTGCCAATTCTTTATATCCACGGCCCTGCTACACATGCAGGCAGATTTGAAAGAGAAAGTCTTTCTTACTGTTTTACAGATTGGTTGTACCAGGCCAATGGATCTGGGCCCAGTATCACCAGTGAGCTGGGCTGGAGCAGATTATAGTTCAGGTTTACATTTGGGTCTGTGTTTGGCAAGCTGGTTACTATAGGAACAGATAGACATAACTCCTGCCAAACACCCAGATGGGAAGGACTTCCTCCAGGGTAACAGCCCAACAGGGCACTTGTCATATGGCTACTTGTGTGTAAATATATATGTGTGTGTGCATGTGTGCATGTGTATGACCAGAGATCAAACCCAGGGCCTTCGCACTGAACTACATTTCAGTCCATTTTATTTTATTTTAGAGACAGTCAGGCAAAGTCACACAAGTTGTGTTCAAACTTGTAATCCTCCTGTCTCAACCTTCCAGAATGCTGGGATCAATAGATGTGTGGCACCACCCTGGCTTACAGTGCCATTTTCATGTCCAAAGCTGAGGCCACAGACAGCAGGCCTGCGACGAGAGGTGCATAAACATAGGATTCCCCTGCCTTACACAGGCAGGGCAAACTCCAAACTGAGTCACAGGGCTTCCGAGTTGGGACCCACTTCAGTGATCCTGTCACTGATAGCTCTGACAACACTGTCTCCAGCCAGTCCCTGGGGTGGGCAGGACTGACCCTTAACACAGCAGAGACTGGTACCAAGTCTTAAGACAACATCAGCACTCAAAGCTAGGACTGAGGTAGCAGCCTGGTTGTAAGGTTACAAATGGATTTTCCTGGTCCCTTGGTGGACTAAGAGCAGGTTTGGACTAGGGAGCAGGGCCATTGCACGACCCACAGCTGGTTCCATGGCTGGCAGACTTGTGACTAGGAGGATGGATGGTTCTGGTTCCTAATGGGCCCCTTGGTGAACGGGACTGGTTGCAGGGCTATGAACACAGGACTGGAGCAGAGTCCTGAGGGGCAGGGGGCCACCTGCAGTCATGCGTGGTGGCCCACCTATGGGTACTTTCTCAAAGCGTTACTCCTGGGTCTTGCACATTACAAGGGCTTTGCAACCCCTACCTGGATACCAGAGCACCCCTTCAGGCATTTGGTTAGATACACAACTGCCTCGTCATGGCTGTTCATGCAAGCCATGAACTTCTTATTCCAGTATCTTATTACTGTCTTCCAGTATCTTATTACTATTTCAATAGTTCTTGCAAAGTAAGCCTACTAGCAACAAATGAACTCGATTTTTGTCTGAAAAAGGATTTATTTCTTAATTTTTTAAAAAGACAATTTTGGAGCAGTTTTAAGTTCACTGCAAAATAAAGAGGAAAGTACAGAGATTGTCAGTGTATTTCCTACCACGGACATGCTAGGTTTCCCCCACTGTCAGCATCCGGCCCAAGTGGTACATTTGCCAGAACAGGACACTGATAAATTGTTACCACAAGAGGTCCAGAAGTTTATGTTAAGGTTCACTCTCGGTGTTGTAGACTCTAGTAATTTAGACAAATGTATAAGCACAAGTGTCTACAACTATGGAAATTTAACTAAGCCACTCAGCAGGGTTCTTACTTTGTAAGCATCCTCAGCCTGTGCAAGAGGAGAGAGGGAGATGGTGTGAGTGTTACACCCGCCCTGGAGGGGAGGAGCCTGCTTACAATATAAGGGAGGAAAAGAGGCTTGCTCTCTTTGCCTTTTGCTCTTGCTGCTTTTGCTGTCTTCTGCTGCCTTGAAGTGTTGCCCCTGTGCCAAGCCACTCTGCTTTGCAGCCAGCTGATCATGGACTGAAACCTCCACACACTGTGAGCTAAATAAACCTTTCCTTCCTTCATTTTGAATGTCAGATATTTTGTCCCAATAATAAGAGAAAGTAACCAAGATGTATGGTGGCTTCCACAGTGCTTTTACCACCCTAAAAATCCCGTGTCCTTCTATTCATTCATGCTTCCCTCCTTCAATCTGTGACTTTTATTGTCTCCATGGTTCTACCTTTCCCAAAAATTTCAAAAAGTCGAAATTGTGTTGGCTTCTTTCACTCAGTAATCACATTTAAGGTTCTGTTACTTCTTTTCACAGCTGATAACGCATTTTTTTGTTGTTGACATGAAGGAATACTTCTGGATAGGAATACATTGGATACGCCACAGTTTACCCACTTGCTGAAATATATAATTTGGTTGCTTCCAAGTTTTAAGAATTATAAATAATTCTATGAGTAAACAGGTAAATCCATGAGTGTATACTTTGTGGCCATAAGTCTTACAGTCATTTGTGAGATACTTTTAATAGGTAAAAATTCAGTTATACAAATTTGAAACTTCTGTGGATGGTAGTGATGTTAGCAAAATGTACTTAATGCACCTGAAATGTGCACTGGACGTGGTAACTTTTATGAATAGTTATTTCACCACAATTTTTGGAGAAAGAAGAACACATTTTGAAATTTTAGTTTCTTAATAAAATTTCCCTTAACAAAGCCAGCATTAACAGGATTCAAACCTTAATATACGTACATCCCTTGATCCAGTAACTCCATTTTTAGACTTGTATTCTAAAAAATAAGGCAAAGAAATGAAACACTGCAAAATACATATATATATATATTTACCACCTGGTTTTGGCATAAAGAAAAATGGGAGGCAGGAGTGGTGGCACCTACCTGTAACCCAAACTTTTCGGAAGGCAGAGACAGGGTTTCAAGTTTGAGGCCATCCTGGGTGACTTAGTGAGATCCTGTTTCAAAACAGAAAATAATAATAATAAATAAATAATAAGACAACATAATAGTAATAAAGGGTTATGGATGTAGCCTAGTGCTGGACCACTCGCTTAGCATGTCTGAGGCACTGAGCTCAACCCCTAATACTTTCTGAAAGAAGGAAACATCCCTTACATGTCCTCAAACAGCCAATTCATTAAGTCCATCTCTAGCACCGTAAACGCAGGCGTTTTAAAATCACAATCTACACGCACGATGTTTTCGGTACCGGGGATAGAACTCACGACTGCCTGCTTCTAAGGCAGGCGCTTATGCCTCTGAACTAAATCCCCAGCCCCTCTACATGCACAATTTTGACATGAAGTTTTCTCCCGATGCGGGCTGTTTCGCTGAGTGCAGACCGCGGGGCAGGATGCCTAGTGTGTGCACACGTGTGTGCCATGGTCTTCAAGCGACTTACTGCGAGCGTCCAGAGGTCACGTTAGCCTTCTGCCCGGTGCCCCGGCCACTGATGCACACGGCAGAGCTCGGGGCCCAATCGGCTGCCCCGTACGTGCCCTGCCCTCCCGGGACTTACACGTGAAGACGCAAGGAGCCTGAAGGCCAGGGCCAGGCTCGCACCCGACGCGCAGGCCGCGTGACCGTGGCTGCCCGCCGCCCCGCCCCGTGGAGCCCTCCTTGCGGACCACACACAGGACCGCACACATCGAGGAGCGCGGAGCTCTGGAGTCCAGGGGCCAAGGGGAGAGCGGTGACCAGCAGGTGGCGTGGCTCGCGCGGGCTTCCCGGGCGCGGGAGGAAGAGCTCAAGCTGGAGACCCCCGGGCCCGCGGGGGGCGGAGAGCTTCTGGGGGGCTCGGGGTGGGGCGGGGAGCTCCAGGGGGTGGGGCGGCCCGGGCCACGCGGCGATCGCCGTAACGAGCTTCCGTAACGAGGCTCGGGGTCCCCGTGACCGCGGGACTGACCCGGCCAGGACGGCAGCTGCCAGGCACCGTCCGGGCTGTGCAACGCGCGCGGGTTCTGACTGAGGAAAACCCTGCTCCTGGGCAGGGAGCGTGTAAAACGCGCGAGAATGTGCGCTTGGCATTGGTGTCCGGATTGGAGATCCCAGAATGCAGCCCTAGGGGGCGCCGCCCGCGGCCTTGCACGGAGGTGGGGGTGGGGAGTGGGGACCCCGGAGGGCTCCCCTCACCCCCCCTGTGCAGCTGGAGTGTGGCTGTCGCTGAAAACGACGGCGCCCTTCCTAGGGCCACAGAAAATTTTAAATATTTTCTTTATTTTGTTAAAAAAAAGTAAAAAGGAAGAAAAATATGCATATATATAAGATATGAAATGCATCACTTGAACCCTTGTTAAGTGACCGGTTCCGTGGCAGTAAGGACCCTGTAGTGCTGCGTGACCATCAGCTCTATCCATTTGCAGAACACGCTCATCGCCCCCGCTGAAATCCCGGGGGTGCCCCCTCCCCATTTTCCGCTTACCGCTGACCACGTTTTACCTCCCTAGGAAGCCCAAGCACTTTGAGTAAGGTGAATCATACTATAGCCGGCCTTTTCTGCAGGCTTATTGCACTCAGCTCAGTAATTTCCCATTTCTTCCGCTGGGCTACGGGTCCTCACTGTCCCCCGAAGGCCCTAGTGGAGGGTGCGTGCAGGGCGCTGGAGCCTTTAGGAAGGGAGGGAGTCACCGTCCCAGGGTGCACCCCGACCCGACCCAGCGCTGGGCACCTGGCCGTTCCTCACCCTCTGTGCCTTGCAGCAGTTCTCAGACTGAGCTCTTCTGCCTGCCGCGTCCAGGCTTAAAAGCCATAGGCCCAAGCAAGCATGGGCTGTGTCTCTGAAACTATGAACCTTCCCTCTTTGGAAGGTGATTTTCTCAGATATTTTGTCACAGCTGAGGAAAGCTAACAAACTAGCACCGTGTGTCAGAGTTTTATTTCTTTTTATTTAATAATAATCCATTTAATGTATATGTAATGTCTCGTTTTCCTAATTATCTGTTGATAGACTTTTTCCCCCCTTGCAGGGAGGACTATTGGGAATAGTGCAGTGAACACTGTCACGCAATTACATCGTTTCAGCTATTTTGGGTAAGTCCCTGAAAGTGGAATCTCTGGCCCCTGTGGTAACTGTCTGACTTTTGGAGGAACCATCCAAGTGTTTTCCATAGCTGCACCACCTGGCATTGTAGCCAGCAGCGCACGAGGGTTCTGGTTTCTCCACAAGTTCACTAATAGTCAATCTGATTCGAGCGTGCCAGGCAGAGCTGCCTGTTTGAGAGCTTGGTCCTCAGCCAGCAAAGTGAGGTGGTGGGGCCTAGAGGAGGCGGGGCCTGGAGAGAGGAGGTTAGGTCATTGGAGGGGGTTACCCCCAGAAAAAGCCAAGGTGCGTTTTGTGGGACCCTGAGTTCTCCCAGAGCCAGCTGTCATGGGAGAGCCCCTTTCTGCACTCTGGCTTCCTCTCGCACCCTGTGGTCGCTCCCTCCTGCACACATTCCTCCCATGAAGCCGTCTTATTGCTAATTGAAAACTGTCTTAGTCACTTTTTACTTGTCTCTGAGACAAAATACCTGATGACCAAAGTTGGGAAAGGAAAGGTTTATTTCTTACAGTTTTTGGAGGTTTCAGCCCATACTCAGTTGGCTCCAAGGCAGGGTGGCATGGCTGGGCTGCAACCAGCAAGGTGGAAACCAGCAAAAGAGAGACACACCTTCTTCCTGCCATTACATCACATCCTGGCGCCACCCCTATGTGGGTGTAGCACTCACACCCCCAATCCAAGCTCTAGACAATGAACCAATCACAAACGCGTAATGCAAATGCATGAGGCTTGGGGCCACCAACATAAACCATGACAAAAACTTTTCCAGAAAAAAAAAAAAGTGGGGCTGGAAATGTATTTCAGTGGTAAGTTTCCTGGGTTCAGTCCCCAGGCCCATAAGGAAACTAACAAGAAGCACAGCTGAGGGGCCTGGGATATAGCTCAACACCGTAAGTGTTTGCCTTGCAAGCACAAGGTCACTAGTTTGATCCCTGGTACCAAAAAAAAGAAAAGAAACCCAGCTGATTAGGTATCAATTTTGTTTCCTTCCGCTTCACTGAGTTCATTCTCATGAACTCCTTGAGGTTTGCTTTCATTTGTCTTTTTAACCTATAGTATGCTATCCAAAAACAGATAAATCTATTTCTTTATGGTTGTATATCTTTAGCTTGTTGTCTATGTGTGCGTGTGCGCACGTGTGTGTGTGTGCGTGTGTGTGTGTAACTGCTCTAACTAGCTCTTCTACCACGCTGAGTTACAGCTGTAAAAGCCTGTCTCCATGTCTCGTTTCTGATATGAAGGGGTCGTTCTCAGGCTTTCACCACTGAGTGTGGGCTTAGCTATGGGTTCTCACAGTCCTGAAGGCAAGATGGGAAATCTTAGAGAATGGTTTTAAAATTTTGCCTACTGCAAGAAGATACAGGGCTAGCTAGCATAACAGTGCATTTAAATTGGTATCTCCAAATACTCTCTGTATTCCTCTCTTTTCTTTGCTGGTCCTTGCTCTGTCCTCTTACCCTTGCTAGGTGCCCCCACAGGACTGGGCTCTCAGGGACCTCACCACTGGCTTCCTTTGTTCTTGGGTGTCCCATTAGGCTGCAGGCATAGGCCACAGGCTAGCAGATGGGAACAGAAAGAGGGAAGGTGTTTGTTCCCCTGCCTCCTCCCTTCCGGGTCAACATGGGTCAACTTTCATATAACCTTTCATATAACCACCTCCTGCAGCTGTTCTGGGAAGATTCTGGTAATTGAACTTTCTCCTATCGCTTTAGTTGCGTGCTGCCTTTTAATCCTGCCCACGCCTTTGTAAATAATCCTTATTACTCTCTACCTAACTACCCCATTTGAGATGCCCCATCTGTTTCCTCTGGGACCTTCCTGATAAGATACTTGCATGCCAACCTCTCCAAACCACCTCTACCCATTTATTTATTCACCACTTCTTTCAACAGTTGTATTTTTTTTTTGTCTTTTTCCTTTTTTTATCGGTACCAAGCATCGAACTCATGACCACACACTTGCAAGGCAGGTGCTTATGCCGCTGAGCTAAATCTCCAGCCCCCACCAGATGTATTTTTGATCATCAACACTCTGCCTAGCACTGTTCTTAGCACGTAGTGCTAAGCAGTTAATAAAGTAGGTGAAACCCTGTCTCTTCAGAATCTCTATTCAGCTAGGAGGAGGGGTGAGAAAAAGAAGCAGAGACCCAGTTTGCTTACCATGAATAAGTTAGGCGTGTTTACATGAATCAGTAAAATATGTGCTCTGATCCTAATGATGGTCAGAACCATCAGTGTAGCACACAAGGGACAGGAAGCCTGGGCTGGGATTCAGAATAGGAGCTTCAGGGAGGGCCTTGTTGAGAATGTGACATCTTAGCAAAGACCTGAGGACCAGGAAGTGGTCCTGTCACTTACTGTTTGGGAACAGAGCAAATAAAAGCATCTCTGGCAGGACCGTGAATGACCAGGGCTAGATCAGTAAGCCGGTCCATGAGTTTGGAGCCAAGCAAGGGCAGGGGCTGAGGGTGGAGCCTCAAGTCCTCTAATCCGTCACTGTGAGCTCCTTGACACGACCTGATTTGTCTCTCACTGTGAATTAAACATTCGTGATAATGAGGACAAAGCTTTGCGGGTGACGCGCGGGTCGCTGGAACCTGCGTGTTTCTCCGGGTGATCTGCTTGGCCAAGTCCAGCTCCAGCACCAGTCCTGTCTATGGGCACAGAAGCTCAGTTGGCCCTAGGTCAGGCTTGCTTCTCATCCCACTCAGCTGAGGACACCTAGCTGGGGTAGCTAGAGCTCTGTCCTGTCCCGTGCAGAGCAAGTTTCTGTAGTACGTGGAAGCCCTGGTCTGGCTTCCTCCCATGACCCTAGCCATGAAACTCTTCAGAGAAAAGGAGAACCTTGACTCTGAACACTTCCGGCCCCTGACACTGGTCTCTGTTGTCCCCTGCCCTGCAGGGCTGCCCCCTGCCTGCATGCTTGGCCCCCTATCCTAGGGGACCCGTCCCATCGCCAGTCAGGGTCCAGCTGTTTTCATTCTCTCATTTTTATAGCTGTCTTCTCTGTGAGAATTTCCCTCTCAGCAGGCATGCTGGGGCACACACCTGTGATCCTGAAACTCTGGGAGACTGAGGCAGGAAGATCACAAGCTTGAGTCCGGCCTGGGCAACGTGGTGATGTAGAGAGACCCCGACTCACAACAAAATAAACCAACCACAGCATAAAAGAATTTCACTTTTATTTGATAGTAAAGGACAAACTTTTTAAAAAGTTAATAAAAAGCATTAACCAGGAAAATTTGAACATTGACTGATATTATTTTAGGTAATATAATTATGCTTTTAAAATGAGTCCTTATTGTATGAACTTCATACTGAAATGTTTATGTGTGAAATTACATGGTGCCTGAGATTTGCTTTAAAAATATCCAGGATAGGAGGAGAAGGAAACACAGACAGAACACAAGCACCTGAACTGATAATTACTGAGCTATGTGATGGGTACCTGGAAATAAATTATACTGGAGTCTTCATTTTTACTTTCTTTCATTTTGTTTTGTTTTGTTTCGTGTTTTGAGGAAGGGTGTAATTATGTAGTTCCAACTGGCCTTGAAGTCAATGTGTAAGTTGCAGAGATCCTCCTGCCTCAGACACCCAAAGGATAGGATTATAGATGTGTACCACCACACCCAGCTTGTCTCTTCATTTCTAAGTAATGGTTAAAATAGTCCTTAATTAAAATTTTAAAACAAATAAGTAAAGGAGATTAGTGCATAGGCTAATGATGGAAAAAATAAAGTTAGATCATATGCCACAGCAAGCACCAATGCAAATTCTAGATTAATTAAGGAATTCAGTATAGACGGGGCTGATGGAATAGCTATTTGTGAGGCTGAGGCAGAAGGATTACAAGACTAGCCTCAACAACCCTATCTCTAAATAAAATTTGAGTAAGGTCTGGGGATGCAGGTAAGCACTGGAATGTTTATCTATTATGCATGAGGCCTTGGTTCAATTCCTGGTACCACCATCAAAAAAAAATGGAATTCAGTATAAACAAAACCAGGGAAGAGCCAACAGGAAATGTAGGTTAGTGTTTGATGCCAAAGTAAAAAACATTCATTTTAGGGCCAGGATAGCTCAGTGGCACAGCACCTGCCTGTCAAACACCAGGTTGTAAGTTTGATTCCCAGTCTAAACAATAAAAATACATTTTTTAAGCATGAAAACAAGGAAGAAAATCCATAAAGGAAAATATCAGTTAATCTGATTGTAAAATAAGTCTCAGTATGAAAAAACAAAAGCAAAAACATTTTTAAACAGACTAACAACAAACTGGGAGGAATAGTTACAATATGTAAGAAAATGATGTTATATTAATATAAAAGAACTTTTTACAAAATGATGAGAATAACATCTCAATGAAAAAACTGCCAAAGTTTATGAATGATAAATTTGCTTTTAAATCCAAATAAATGGAAGAAATATGTATTTAAAAATGCAAGCTTAATAAAAATAAGAGGTATCATATTGAACCCACTGGTGAATGAATAGACATTTTTAAAGTAACCCTCAGAGCAGGTTAAGTCATGAATCAGATCCATCCATCCATGGTATGACTTGGTAATATGATACCATGTTTCTTGAGAGTAATTTGACAATGTATGTCAGTCATATACCAGGAATGGTTATCTTGTTGACTTGATGATTTGGGTTGTTTGGTTTTATTTTTTAAACAGGGTCTCAGTAAATTGCTCAAACTGGCCTTTATCTTGCGATGTTCCTGCCTCAGCCTTCCCAGTAGCTGGTTTCAGGTGTGTGTCACCATGATCTGGTAATTCTATTGCTGGAATTTGTCCTCAGGAAAAGAGTGTGGAACAATGTGGAGGACGCTTGGACAGCTCTCCTGGAACAAAGAGCAGTCGTCTCCAAGTGGGCCAAACCTGGCCCTGTCTCCATGTGCTGATGTGTACGGAGCTGGCTGAGCCATTGCCTTTTCCCTTCAAGTGGCTCTCAGCAATATAAACTGGGCTGGGTGAGGTGCTGATGTGTAATTGCTGAAGTCTGGTGACTGTCACTTTTCCCTGCCCTAAGACTCCTTAAATGTAGTTGAGCCAGGTGGGATGCAGAGCCACAGCTCCAGGGCTGTCCTGGGATGGAGCCTTGAGATAAGAGGCTGTGACTGCCCAGGACAGAGAAGTTTGCACCTCAGAGCTGAGGCACTGCACCCCATACATTACATGCTCCCTCCACTGTGCTATGCAGATCAGTCTCTCTGTGTATTGCAGAGGTGATTTTAGGCCTCCTGCCCAGCCCAGCTCACAGTGCTCACATATTTCCTGCCATTCTCACAGTCGCTTATCCTCAATCCCCTCCCTTCTTCATGAGTTAATAAAATCTGGGTTGGGCCCTGCATTGAGGATTTTATTCCAATAAACTTTCTTCCTGGCTGGACTTAGGACTCCTTGGTTTCCCACCACTATAAATATGTTTTCCTGGCTTTATTCTTGTCACAGGTTGCACTGGAAGTGATAGATTGGAATTAACTTTTTCATGGGTCACAAATATAAACTTCCCAGACTGCAATGAGGGTGGGAAAGGGATCGCTACATAAAAATATATTAACGTTCAGTGATCTTTGTTACAATTTCCTTACAGTAATAACACATGAAAACAAAGGGAAACGCCCCCCAAATAATGGCTTTGTCCATTCGTAGGACATACCATGGCACATTCATAGGACAAAACACCATGCAGGACAGCCCAGCGAAAGTTACATAATACTCAGCAGGAAAGTGTCGCTGTCTTCATGTATCCAAACTTTTTATTGAAAATATTATTTTAATAGCTTTCTATTTAGAATTTACCAAACTCCCACAGTGTGGAGCTTATATATATCTGCAAATAGTAACAGCTGTAACTGCTTAGAGCCAATTATACTAATTCTCCTCATCATACTTTTCTGCATTTTATAAAACTATGCCAATACATTGCTTGCTTATTTATTTACTTATTTAGTTAGTTCTTCTGAGACGGGATCCACTACGTAGCCCAGGCTGGTCTCATACTAATGACGATCCTCCTGTCTCAGTCTCTCAAGTGCTGGGGTTCCAGGGGTGTACCGCCACACCCACCTTACATGACTATAAAATGAAACTAAGTCAATAACTCATAAAAGGCAGGAAGATGAATCAAGCCACAGACATTTAGACTTGGCAAAAGATGACACAGAGGGTCCTGCATACCCTGAAGACCTCCCTATTAGGTGGGCGATGAAACCAGAGCCATGGCTTTGATGCTGGTTCCGGGATGCTGCCTCTGACTCCGGGGCCTGGCCAGGCCTGCCCACCTCCAGGAGGTCTTTGGGACACATGTGATGCTCAGTGGTTCCAGTGAGTTTTAAGGAACGTATCAGCATGTTGCTCTGTTAAGAACCTAACAGACCCTTTCTTTTTCCTTCTTGAAAGTTTGATGGATATCATGAGACAACTGAAGCATTAAAAGCAAAAGTTTTCATTCTAGGGGTCCACCTGTCTTATTATGAAACCTTAAAACGGTGCCTTTCCCACTGGTTTTGTTATGTATGAGCCTTCTGGTTATATACTAACTATTTTCCTTCCCTCAGCAACTCAGACTGTATGGTCAACACACAGATGTGAGATTATGACTTTTTTCTGTGGTTATGTTTTGCATTTTCTTTTGTTGTTTCTAAGAAACAAATTCTAATTTGGGGGTTTATCATTTTGATTCCTACATAAAGGTTTTAAACAAAGTGACAAAATCAAAACAGCCTTCTTCCTCTTTCCTCTTACTGCTCTCTGGTCTTACACCTGTCAAGCTATTTATTTGCCATTTACGTCTGTTCTCCTAAGAGGTGTGCATGCACTATTATTTCCTCGCCCATATATTTCAGGCCTTGTCTTATGTTTCTTCTCCCTCCCCTCTCTTTTTAGCTGTCTACATTGTTTTAATGCATGTGAAACACAGTATCCAGTAGCACAGGGCAAGAACATCTCTATGGAATAAGCAGACACAACGGGGCTCAGAGGAAGTGCCGTGCAAGCAGAAATGCCGAAACCACACCCAGGATTGGCAGGCAGATTCATTTATGCCCACGGCACTGATCAGGTTCATTCCCCAAATATCAGGCCAGACCTCTGGTGGTCTTGGGCTTTTACATGATGCCCGAGCAGGAGGTGGAAAGGAGGTTCAGAGGCGAGACAGGACAACCCTGCCCTTCTTCTGACCAGCTAGCAGGGTGAAATCACTGGTTACAGGGGCAAATGAATGGTCACGAAGCGTGGTGCCATCAGGCATCCGGTGTGTTAGTTATGCTCTTGGAGTCACAGGGTCAAGGATGTAATTACAGAGTCATGAAGTGGTTGGAGAGCTAGGCGGCTTCAAAAAGAGCAGTTTTAAAAAGAACCATTTCTCTTGTACAGTTTTTCCTTTTCAGGAGGGCAGGGGGACAACTTTCCCTCCAGGCACAGCAGCTCCACTCCCTAAATGGTTCTCAGCAGATGGCCAGGCAGCCAGCCTGGACCTCAGCCTCTGCCTCTGCCAGGTGCCAGCTCCTGCCCCACCCTCACTCCTTATAAAGAGACCCGTGAGCTAAGACTAGGAGGAGGACCGCGTCCCTCCTATCATGTGCCTTGTGTCTGGGAGAAGAAACACAGCGCTGAGCCCTACCCACCTGGGAGAAGGAAGGGACACTGCTGGGGAGGCAGAGGCAGGCAACCTGGGAGGTGGCTGGGCTCGCCCCTAGCCAGCCATGGAGGAGGCGCTGCTTCCAGGGGTTCTTAGAGAGAAAGAAGGAAAGGAAGGAAGCAAGAGGAAGAAAAGGAAGAGAGAAAAGAAGAAAGGGGTGAAAAAGAAGAGGAGGAGAAGGACAAGGAGAAAAAGAAGAGGAAAAACATCATCGTGAGACCCATGGGCGAAGTGCTGGATGAAGCACCCCACTGTAAACACACGCGGTGGTACTCCATGTGCTCCAGTCTGGTGGTGGCACATGTGTCTGTCTGGATTCCAGGAGCTTTGCCCTGCCACGTCCTGCCCTACCCTGCAAGAGAGGTGTGTCAGAGATTGTTCCTAAGCTGGATGACAGCCAGCAGGCAGGGGCCTCTGGTTCCACCATCCTGTGTGTGTATGTGGTACATGTGCACATGTATGTAAGTGCATGTGGGTACATGGGAGACGTGTGTGAGCACATACAGGAGGACAGGGTCACTTCCCGACACCCAGGGTTCACAGCCAGCACCCTTCCCATCATGCACAGCAAGGCTGGGTGGACGCTAGGGTCATGGAGTCCGAGTCCATGCAGATGTGACATTTGCATGCCCTACCCTCGTCCACCGCTATCCAGGGTCCCCTACGTGGTCACAGCTGAGTCTCTGGAGATTTTCTCGTGGCCCTGTGCTTGTGGGTCTTGTACACAGCCTCCTGCTTTAACCACAGTAATATAGAGGACGCGGGTGTGACATGGGTGCAGGGAGGGCCACCTTTAGGACTGCAGCTGGCATGCAATGGCCTTTCTCTCCTGGACACACCAGGCTCCTGGCCCGAGCATGCAGGAGGTGACACCAGCCTCTGGGTGATGTGGTGTCCTGTGCCCTACGGTGTCTCCCTGCCACATCCAAGCCGGCCATGCAGGCTTCATCTGGGGGACACTGGGAAAGTGTTCAGTAGCTGCAGAGACCTGGGACAACGGCAGCTCCCACTGCAACAGCTTTGCAGGTTTTCATTTCTCTTCTGGGCTAGGAGTGCTTGTGCCAAGACTGCTTGGTAGTCCTGCCTGAAAGGAGCTGTGTTCGCACACTTACAGCATCCTAAAGAGAGACGGAAATTGTTCTTCACAGGTGAACTAAAATAGAGCTGTTTTATGCTTTTCTCCCCACACGTTCTCTGTGGGACTAACAGTTTGAAATGGAAGAGGAAAATCTAATTCTCAAATCTATAGCAATGCTACTAAATTAGCCTGACTTACTTGTGCTTCAGATTTGAAATTTAATGATCTTACTAAAGTTGTTTCTTTTAAAGTAATGACTTTATTAATAAATATGCACATATGATGATGTAAATACAAACCATGGATGCTACTCCATTCCTGTACACAGATTTGCACACAGGTAGCTCAAGTTCATGGATATAAACACACGCAGTATCTGTTAGGTCTTTGTACAGCAGAGGACCTCGTGCCTGTTATCAGTAACCAGTAATTATTTTCTCCATAATGATCTGTGGAAAAAGAAACAGAAAACTTGAAGAATCAAAGAATCTTATTCCTTTAAGTATTTAATTTCCCATAGTATTTAAATTCTCCCAAATTCTCTCGCAGTACATGCGAGAGCACAGCTGTGTCTCTCAGGAGGACGGGAAAGCAAAGGAAGTATTTAGGTGTGTCCTAGAGTTTAAGAGCAAACGGAGGGCTGGGGTTTTAGCTCAGCGGCATAAGTGTCTGCCTGGCAAGTGTGAGGTTGTGAGTTTGATCCATGGAATGGGGTGGGAGGAATGGATGTGCTATAGCAAAGCAAAAACATAATGGCATCAAAATTTTTATGTCCATGGGGACAAAAATGTTTTCAATAACTGTAACAAATTCTTATATTTTACTATAAAGGGATCATAAATATTACTGCATATGGAGACAATGACTAAGAGAGTAACAGTTATAATATCCCCTGAACCGCTTGTAAAAGTACCCTAGTATAGGAAGAAGTTTAATTAATTAATTTATTCATTTATTTTAACTCATACTCACTAGTTATTCTTACACTGGGTGAATCACCCTTAAAAACAGATCCAGATTTTTTTCTCCTTAACTTGGTGAAACTATTTTTATTTCATGGAAAAAAAATATAAATTCACATAAATCAGTTGAGAATGAATAATACTTTGACAGAGGTTTCTTCAAAAAGTAAATAAAAAACAATTTTTAGTTTAAAACAATGATTTAAAAAATGTCCTTGAATATTAAAAATTAACAGATCCTACTTGTTTTCTTGCAATATATGTTGCCATTATATTTTTAATAGCTAGTGCAAACTCTAATGATAATATCAAATTATCCCCTACTAAAGATTAGTTATATCTGTTAAAAAATGAAAAATTTCATCTGTATTATCCTATTGTTTTTAAATTTTTTTTTAGAATTTCTTTTTTTTTAACCCTATTTTTAAATATGGTAACAATTTTAAATAAGGCATGTTAAAATATTTTTAAAGAAAAAGTAAAGCAGACTTACTTGAATAACAGATCATTTTCTTTGGTGAGCTGGATGTCTGGGGTTGTATCTTGTTTAAGTATCTTCTCATTTTGTATCCTATTTTTTTTAGTTTAATTTCTAGGTTGATGCTTGTAAATTGCCTATGGTAAGAAGCTTTATTGCTAGTATTTGGAACCTTTAGGAAATGACTATTTCTCCAGTGTCTTCCAGGTATAGCAGATGACTTTGGTTTGATCCTACCTCTTCAGTTTATTGATCCTGCCTCTTCAGCTGCCTTCTTGGTCCACCACGTGGGTCTTTGGGACTGGCCTATAGTATTTTTAGGACCCTTAGGCAGTCTCAGTCTTGGTGTGCCAGGAAGTACAATTGGTTAGAACAATTATGTCACTTTGGCTAAAATATAATCAGCAATAACAGGAGCACTGAACACAGCCTAGAAAATGGAAAACTGAAGTAACTATTAATTTGCCACCTTTAACCATGCGAATTAGATTTGTGGTTATACAACAAAATTTGAAACAAAGCAGAAAATTGTCTGCAGTGAATATATCCTCGGGGTAGTAAATTTACCCTCAGGGGAAAAAATTTAAAAGGGACTTGGGCGAAAAATAGAGAAATAAAAGAAAAGGAAGAGGTTAGAGGCGAGGCTGGAGGACAAAGGAGGATCACACAAACTTCAGGAAACTGGTGCAGAAGACAGGAGGAAAAGAAAGCAGGAAAAAAAAACAGCAGAACAGAACAACAGCAACAAAACTAGAAACTATGTTCACATTCATAAAAAGAAGAACAAAAAGAGGAAAAACAAACAACCCAAAAATAAAATTATAGGGGCTGGGGATTTAGCTCAGCAGCATAAGCACCTACCTTGCAAGCAGGCAGTCGTGAGTTCGATCCCTGGTACCGATAAAAACGAAAAAGACCAAAATAAATAAATAAATAAATAAAATTAAAAAAGAGAGAGAGAGGTCAGGCTTGATGGTACATATCTGTAATCTCAGTACTCGGGTGGATGAGGCAAGAGGATCTCTGCAAATTCAAGGCCAGCCTAGATTACACATTGAGACCTTGTCTCAAAAACCAAGCAAACAAACAAAAAACACAAAACCAAACCAAAACAAGAAAGATTGAAAATAAAATGAAATGTCCAGGTTGTGTCTCTGCTGCCACTGGTAGACAACATGTGTAGACAGAGTTGGGGTCCACTGTGATCAACCCCAGCAAGCCCGAAGCAGCTCCATGCAGGGCAGCGGATAATCCCAGCGAGCCTGCACCCCTGTTTCTGCTGAAGTTCAGTTGGACTCTGGCTTCGAGGCTAGAACCAGATCTGCCCAGCTTGCAGCTGTCCACTTGTCCCTGAGGCTTGAACTGTGCTAGAAGCCCCTAGGAGGAGCCAGCAGTCCCTCGGAGCCCGAGCTCGGTCAGCCTGTCTTGTAGATGGCTTCAGGCCAGTCCCCTCTCCTGTGGACTTCTGACCCAGAACAATTCACCACCACTGTGGCCCTCTGTGTCCACTGCCCTACTCCACTACTGTACTTCTTTGTGGAGGCCCTGGGGCTGCCAGTTGTCACCCTGTATCTGCAGGTTCCAGTCCCCTATACGGGGGCCACTGTGGGGTGCCTCAAAGCTGGGGGCATCTGTGGACATGAACTCACTGTCTAGTGCAGGTGCACAGCGGGATACACTTACATAACCGTGACTTAGCATTAGACAACCACGCAAGCACTGCACGGTTAAGTCAGTGTAGAAGAACGTAAACACCCGACGATAGCACGTGTAAGGGTTAAACATAAAGATGCAGGTGCTGTTTTGCTGATGTCTGTTCCACGTGCTTACTTTGGGAACCTCACCTGTGAATTTACTCCTTCAGGCCCTCGACGCTGAGACCATCCATCCATGCAGTGAGTCCAGGCTTAGGGAGAAAGTGCAGCCTGCCTCTTCCTCCTCCTTCTTGAAGTTTCTCTCTCCGTTCTTCCCATGGGCTTCAATCCTCGCTTCAGATCCTTCCTCGGTGCTGGGCACCCACTTCCCTCCTCTTTCTCTTCCTCATGGTGCTGTGCTCCAGAGTCTGGACAGCAAGTCTGGGAGAGGCTTTTTGTTGTTCACCACTTTGCGATCTTCCTGGAAGGCTCACAGATCGTTTTCTGACATGACAGTTTTATATAGAATAGCTAAATCTTTTCAGTGGAGAACAGAATTGTGCAGTATACAATTAGTAATTTACCTTCTAAGGAACAATCATACAGTGCAGGGAAAAGGCCAGTTTTTACCAGCTGATTATATTAAAATATAGGCAATGTTTCTTTATTTTATTTCAGTGTCTATCATGACAAGAGACAGGATTTCATAAGGTGCACAATAGAGTCTTTGGATTATATGGAAGTAGAAATATTTTGCATGGTTAAGACTTCACTGATATTATCGCTTGCGTGTCACCAATAAACTATTCTTGTGGACAGAAGTTAAGTGGACTCAGGAGGTGTCCACTGGTGTGTAAATCCAGTATTCCGGGTAACTCGTCATGTGAATGGTAAACTCAGCTTTCTATACCATGTTACCCACCCACGGCTTCAGCCCTTCGTGCCCCCTTTCCCCTGGGACACGGCTCCTGATAATAAAGACTGTGACAAACTTATCTCCTTTAGTTTACCATTTCAGAAATATGTCTACAAAATTTATTATACAAGAATTCACCCGCTCTATCTTTGGAGACATGGCACAGCACCACTGAGTGGATGTGCTGGAGGATGAGGCATAGGAAGGGGAGAAGAGGTGGGGAGGGCGGGGGAGAAACAGGAAGGGTGTGCTTAGCAGAATCACGAACCAACGAAAGGGCACTGTCAGATGAACTTATGGTAAACCTGCAACCGTTTGGACAATGCTGTTATTCTAGCATTAATTAATTGTTTAATTAACAATTAATTAAACAACTGTCTTTAGGAACTAGAAAGGACTCCTAAGCAGCCAGCTTGAGAAACAGCTAAATGGCAGATGCAGGGGAAAGTGGGCAGATGAGCACTGACTGAATATGCAGGCACTTGTGTCAGAAGCTATACTGTTCTGAGAAAATTGCTAATTTTTTTATATATTCTAAGCTCGTGCAGGAAGAAACTCTTGTAGCATTTTAGCTGCTGGAATGTGAAGGCTGATTATGCCTTCACATAGTGCTATTCACTATGATTTGTGCAAAGCCTACATTATTGAGGTCACTGTCTTAACTGCCAGTGCAGACACAGCCCCCACATATACTGGGACACCTCTTACTTACACACCAGCGTCGTGTCTGGCTCACTGTGTCAGGCATCACGGGAACACCTGAAAGCCTGCCGCTTTTTTCCAGATCAATTGAGATTTTTCATTTTCATTAGTTCATCTTTATAGCTCCACTTCTGCCATTTGTAATCTTCAAGTGTACTTCATTTAACAGGTCTTGCCTCTGACAAACTGTTGGTTTGTGGCCGTGTGGCTGTATTTGCCTTGCTGGGAGCAATCTATGTCAGAGTGATTGGTGGCTCTCCTGACATCTTCACTGAGGCAGGAGGTCTTGCCAGGGCCACAGAACTCTGGATTATTGCGACAGGATGCATTGTTTTCCGCAGTGGATCCAGAAGCAACTGCTAACACACATATTAGCAATGACAAGTCTGCTGCAGATACGAGCCCTCCCTGGAGAAAGGGCTGAACCCTTCCAACACCAACATTCATCTCCCGATGTCCCTCTGCTCGGATCTACAAACATTGAAATCTGCAGACCACTCTGTCTAGAAGCCCAATTGTAGTAAAATGTTAGTGTTGATTTTCTTTCCCTATTGTGAGGATGTTAGTTTGAGCAAAGTTTTAATTAAACATGTCAATAAGAATCACTTTACTATTATTTTGCACTTTAATTTCATTGAGCTGTGTTGGGGTTAATCTTTTGGCCCGTTAAAAGGTGCTATGCGCATGGAAGAACTGGGAATCGAGCTTTCTGTTTATTTCTCCAATGCTCCCTTGAATCCCCTCTGCTTAGTTTTCAAAAGGTGGCTTCCTTCATCTCTATTCATTGGTGCACTGCGCCCTCTCTTTCCCTTTGTAAATTTGGACGATTCCTCCCCTGCCCTCTCTTCCTGTCCGAAGTTCTTCTTGATGAAGTACTGTTGCTTAGCAACAGGGTAATGAGTTCTTCCTCTGTGGCAAATGACAAAAGAGCCTGTGGCAACCTTCACAACTTTTATGTATCCAACCAGTACGGATACACTTTCTCCCATGGAGAGACACTGCCATTCTGTATCTGTAAAGGGCATCAAGATTGAAAATGTTTTTTAAAAAAATAAACATTTGTTATGAATTTACATACTGTTTGTCTTGCTTTTTTTTTTTTTTTTTGTCTTTTTCTTTTCTTTTTTTTTTTTATCGGTACCAGGGATTGAACTAATGACTGCCTGCTTGAAAGGCAGGCGCTTATGCTGCTGAGCTAAATCCCCAGCCCCTTGTCTTGCTTTTGAAACAATCTTTTTCCTTAAGAAAGATTCTTTGTAACAAATAAGGTAAAGTCTTTTTGTCTACTAACTTCAAGCAAAGAAAACAGACACAACTGTACACTATTAGAAAAACTCTAAAATACGTTTTTAAAATCAACTGCTTCATAGAAACAGTGTTTGGAACAGAAAGAGATGATGCTAAAGTATTGTTGGCATTGTTTTATATCAAGTTTGAATACATAGGGAAGACCAATTTGGGATTCATCATATAGTACTATGACATTGGGAGGCACCAAAAACTTTTCAAAAACACCTTTAAAGTCAGGACCTAAAATCCCAGCACTCTGGGACACAGCCAGGAGGATCATAAATTTGAGCCCAGTCTGGGTAAGTTGGTGAGACCATGTCTAAGCAAACAAACAAACAAACAAAACAAAACAAAAACCAGCCTGGGACATAGCTCAGTGTAGAGACTCGGGTTCCATCACCAGTTCTGCAAAACTAAACCGACAAGCAAACAAAAGTCTTCAAGAAATTCTAACTTTAATTTTGATTGAACCGGGAAGCAAATTGAGCTAAAGTGAAGTTCTCACCGGAGTTTTCATTTTATCATTAAGAACTATGACCCTGCAGTCTTCACCTGCCAAGCAAACCGTTCCTAGAGTGCCTGTCTGTTGCCACAAAAGAAGATAAAAAGTATGTTCTTATTAGAGGTCACCACCTCTAATAAGAGGACTGTCATCCCAGCACTCAGGAGGCTGGGGCAGGAGGATCGCTGCAGGGTCAAGACTAACCTGGACTTCACAGCGAACTCAAGGCCAGCTTGAACTACACAGCAAGACCTCGTCTCAAAAAAAAAAAAAAGTCTGTTTTATCCACTATAAAAAAAAATCCCGCTTAACTACCTACAAAACGCAAACCCCTCTGCAGCTTACATTGTATTACATTTGTAAAGTCTTAGCACAGCTCACGTGAGCCAGGATGGAGTGAGCGCCCTTTAGCTCAGCTCTCCTACCCACCAGAACTGGAAATTCTGGGCAAAATTAAACACTGACTTCCTGAAGCCTCTGACAAGTGAATTGGAAAGGGGAAGAGGAGGAGTCAGAACAGGAGCCCCCCCCCCCCCCCCCCAGCGCTCCGGGAATGAGTTTTCCAGATTTCTGTTCTCCTAACTCTAGGCTCTGACATAAGGACTCCAGGAATTCCCTAGCTGAGCTCCTTGTGAACCAGTAGTGCGAAGGGAAATTTCTGTCCGTCTGTCTGTCTCCAGTCTGCATGGAAGCTGGGAACCCCTTCCTAGGTCTCCTCTACTCTGGACTCCCCAAGACTTCCCCAGCTCCCAGGGGGCCTGCTTTCTTGGAGATCTGGGGAGAAAGATGGGATTCCTGGATTACTGGGTTTCCTCCCTCCAGCGCCCCCTGCCTTTGGCAAAAGAACTGCAGGCAGAAACAGAAAAACAGACGCAGCTTCCTCCACGTTCTCCGGAGCACAGCGTGGCTTCTTCCTGCTGCGCTGGGTGGCCAAACGGGTTTCCCTGCGGGGTGCAGCGCTGGTGCCAGGGTTTGGTCTCTGCACTCCATCTGTATGACTGAGGTTCCCCTTAGGTCAGGACAAGGGAGAGTACCCAAGAAAAGCACACAGACCGGGGGTGACTTCTGGCTGCATCTCTCAGAACTCTGAAGAAAAGGCTTGCAGACGGCTGTCCCTCCAGCAGCGGGGTCCGTTCCAGCTCCTCACATTCTTCTCTTCGCCCCGCGGCGGTTCTAACGGGGGCTCACTGAGGTTTTTAAAAAGCAACTTTATCCAGATACAATTTATACACAGTCCACCTATAGAAAGTGCAAACCTAGCAGTTTTTGTTATATTTCAACCTGAACTTTAGATAAAATATGGTGAAATATATGTAACAAAATCCCACTTCATTGTCTGTAGGCGTGTAACTCAGCAATTTTAAATATATTTGCAGTGCTGTGCAAACATCCCAACTCAGGGTTCCCTAATTTTTGCCCCTGCAAACAGAAACTCTGAATTACGCAACAGCTCCTCATTTCCCCGGGCCCTGGTAACCTTTGGCCAACTTTCTGCCTTCATGAATTTGTGAGATTTAACTTCTGTGTATTTGTCTTTATTTCCCCCAAAAGCGTCGCTCTGGCTTTTTTTCACTTAGCACGTTTTCTAGATGGTCCGCGTTGTGGCGTGAACCAGAATTCATTCCTTTTCATAACCCAAGGCATCCCGGTGTGGGATATGCCGTATTGTTTCTATCCGTTCATTTTTCAGAGGGCGTTGGGACGTTTCTGCCTTCCATGATTAGGGATGCTGCTATGAACATTGGTGTATCTGAGCCTTGGCTTTAAATTCCTTTGGATGCAAACCCTAGAGTGGAGAGCTGGACAAGTCTAGCAGTTAAATTTTTTATCTTTCTAAGGAACTAAAAAACTTTTCCACAGGGCCTACCACAGCTTACGATCGCGCTCATAATGCATATCTGCCTGCACATGGTCATCGGTTATTGTTACTTCCTGTTTAAAAAGCTGCAGCCTTTCTAGTGTGTATTTTGTGGTATTGACTTGTCTATCTAACAGCTGATACTGCTGGGCATCTTTTTATACCTATTGGCTGTTTGCATATTCTCCTTGGACAAAGGTCTATTCGAGTCTTTTACAGTTTTGGATTGGGCTCTTTTTGTGCTTGCATTGTAGAATTTCTTCATCTATTTGGTATATTAACGCCTTATTACATAGCTGATTTCCACATATAGGTTCCCATCCTTTGAGTTGTCATCTGCTTTCCTGATAGAGTCCTTTTATGAACAAGTTTTAAGTTTCAATAAGAGTCCCATTTATCTATTTATTGTTTTTAAATTGCTTTCGGTGTAATGTAAGGGGATAGATTTTTTTTTCTTTTTCTTTTGAGACATGATCTCGCTATCTAGTGCAGGCTGGCATTGAACTTATGTAGCTCAGGCTGGCCTTAAAACTCCTAGTGATCCTCCTGCCTCAGCCTTCCCAAGTGCTGGAATTACAAGTGTGTGCTACCATACCCAGCCCTGTTTTCTTGTGAGTTTTATAGTTGTAGTTCCCTTTCCTCCCTCTCTCTTTCCTCTCCCCTCTCCCTTTCTTATTTGACAAGGGTCTTACAGTGTAGTTTAGGCAGCCTTGAATTTTTGATCCTCCTGCCTTGGGCAGGGGATTCCACGTATCTATCACCGGACTTAGTGATCACAGTTCTTAAATTACAGCACAATTCTATTTCCTCCTTTCCCAATTGAATATCTTTTCTTTCCTATCATTCTGGCTAGAACGTACAGTATTTTGTTAAGTAACAGTGATGAGAATGAATTTTATTCCCTCTATTCATCTTTGGGGAAAATAATTCAGTCTTTCACCATTAAATATAACATTAACTGCAGAAGTTGTGTGGTTTTTCTTTCTTTGTTTCTGTAGAGTATCAAGATAAAGAAAGCCCTCCTCTATTTCTAGTTTTCTCATGAGTGAAGCCTTAATTTTGTCTTTTTTTTCTGCATTAATTGATGTGGTCATATACCTCCCTTGGTGATAATATATAATTCTTTTTTTATATTGCTGGTTTCTGTTTGCTAATATATTTTTCAATTTTTTTTTTCTTTTTTTGGTACCAGGGATCGAACTCACAACCTTGTGCTTGCTAGGCAGACGCTTATGCCACTGAGCTAAATCCCCAGCCCCATTTTTCAATATTTTCACATCTGTTTTCATGAAGGATGTTGGTCTACGGTTTCTCATTTTTATACTGTCTTTTGGTGTCGTGGTAATTCTGGTATCATGGTAATATCTTGCTAATTGCTTCAGATGGAGTGCTATAACAAAGCATAGTGGGCTGGGTAGTTTATAAACAACAAAAAATACTTTTCACAGTCCTGCAGGCTGATGACTCTGATGAGAATCTTCTGGATTTCAGATACCAAGTTCTCATCTGGGAAAAGGATGACAAGCCACTTCTGGGGCCCCTTCTTTGAAGGGCACTAGAGTTTGGAAAGTTAACAAGTTAGAGTTGGAGAGGGCACTCCATCAGGAAAGTAAAAGGAGACATTAATGTGAAATTCATAATAATGAGTATTTCCTTCTCTTACATGCTATGGAAAAGATTATGTAGGATTGATGCTACAGTTTTAAAACTTTGGCTGAATTCTCTCGTTAAATCGCCTGTATTTGTACATTAATTTTTAAAGAACTTTTTAGGTTATCCTCTACAGTTACTGAGCTATTCAAATTACCCATTTCACATTGAGAGAAATGTATGCTTTCTAAGAAACCGGTCTGTTGCATCCAAGTTGTCAAATTAACGTGAACTTTTATGAAATTCTCTTTTTAGCCAGGGATGTCCAAGGGGCTGTAGTGATGGCCACTGTTTTATTTCCGATATTGGTAAATTTGCATCTTCTTTCTTGTCACTTTTACTAGAAGTCTATAAATTTTATTGATCTTTTCAGAGATCCAGCCTTTTCTCTCTCTCTCTGTCTCTGGTTCCCAGGTTCATAGCTCTCTACTCCACCTTATTATTTCTGTTTTTTATTTGCTCTAAAGACATACCTCTTGTTTCTTAAGGTTTTCTGATGTAAGAAATTAGTTATAAATTTCCCTTTCAGCACTTCCCTGATTCCCATAAAGTTTAATATGCTATATTTTCAGTGTCATTCAAATCATTGTCTTTTTAATTTCCCTTGGGACTTCTGTCGCCCACCCATTATTTACAATGTTTAGTTTTTAAATGTGTGGAGATTTATCTGTTACCTTTGATACTTCCTAGTTTGATTCAATTTTTATCAAACAATGTATTATAAATGTTTTAAGTTTTCTTGGGCTGGGGATCTAGCTCAGTGGCATAAGCGCTTGCTGGGCAAGCATGAGATTTTGAATTTGATCTCTGGTACCACACACAACAATTTTTTTCCTAAAATTGTTGAAGTTTGTTTCATTCACCAAGCTATGGTGATTTAGATATATGCTCTGTGTATTTTGTTGGTCCAGAGTAGAGTTTTAGACAGATGTTCACTGGATCTTGTTGTTTGTGATGCTTAGTTGTTCCACATCCTTCCTGGTTGTGTTTATCAGTTGTGAAAAGAATTATGGTCTCCAGCTACAGTTGTGATGTCTCTGTTTTCTGCCAGTACTGAGGGTTGAACCCAGAGCTCTGCTCATGCTAGCAAGCCTTCTACCATGAAGACACATTCCCAGCCGTTTTCTATTTTGTATTTTTTTCTTATTTAGAGAAAAAAACGCAAAGCAGAAAAAAGGGTAGACATATCACAATTTGCAAAAAAAGTAAAAAATCACTAGTTGATAAATTACATGTTATCTTAGAAGTAGTTGTTCAACCTATAAAATTAAAGCATAAAAAGTGGACAATCAAACAATGACAGTACAAACTATTCTGTTTGATGGACCAACAAAAACTTAGTAGTATGGTTATCTGTCTTGCACACTTAAACATACATATAGTTATATCTTTTAGAGCACTTTCTTTCCCTTTCATTATTATAATATCTATTATACATTTTGGATCTTATTACTCTTTCAGCTTTTTATTATTACTTTTTATACTAGAGAGACAATATGATATTTACAAATGTGTGATTCATTTCACTTATGAGGATAGTCTCAAGTTGCCTCCATTTGCCTATAAAAGCCTCAAGATCATCCTTTTTTACAGCCAAATAATATTCCATTGTATAAACATGCCATCTTTTTCATCCATTTTGTGGTTGATGGGCATTTTGGTTGTTTCCAAGATTTAGCTACTACAAATTGTGCTGCTGTGAACATGGATGCACATATACCACTGACATGATCTCTTCAGTTTTTCTGGGAAAATACCCCAGAGGAGAAGAGCTGGATTGAGTAGAACCTCCAATCCTAGTTTTTTGAGAATTCTCCACACGGATTCCCACAGTGGTCGCACCTGTCTGCACTCCCACCAACAGTGGAGCAGTGTTCCTCCCCCACCCCCGCAACCATGCCAACATTTGTTGTCAGCTGATTTCTTGATGACCTTGTTTGTTTTTTGAGACAGAGCAGCACCATATGGCTGAACAGTCTTCCAGCTTGCTGTGCTCCTTACCCAGCCTTCGGATTACAGGCTTGTGGTGCCACACCCAACTTTTGTCCATTTTTGATTCACATATTTTGTAGCTGTTGTTGGTTTGTGTATCACATTTAGGGTTGCTGTATCTTACATCATTATGCAATGTCACTAGTAATTTTCTTCCTCAAATTTACTTTAATATTAAAATAAAAACTTACTTTATTTGATTAATGTTCATGGCCTATTTTTCTATCATTGTACGTTCATCCTTCTTGTATCATTATATTTGAAATGGGTTTCTTTTTTTTGTCTTTTTTTTTTTCATTTTCGGGAATCGAACTCATGACCACCTGCTTGCAAGGCAGGTGCTTATGCCGCTGAGCTAAACCCCCAGCCCCTGAAATGGGTTTCTTATAACTGCCATATAGTTTGGTCTGTCAAGCTATATATCTTTTTTTTTTTTGTCTTTTTCGTTTTTATCAGTACCAGGGATTGAACTCACGACTGCCTGCTTGCAAGGCAGGCACTTATGCCGCTGAGCTAAATCTCCAGCCCCAAGCTACACATCTTTAATTAGTGTGCTTAAGTCATTTATATGCAATATAATTATTGACGTTAGGACTTAAGTTTTCCATTCAATTTTTTGTTTTTGTTTCCTTTTTGTTCTAGGTCTTGTTTTTGTTTATCTTCCCTATGTGATTATTTGGTCATTTTGTGATACTTTTATGTATCTGTAATGTTTCTGTGTCTCCTTGCATACCTTCTTTAGCGGCTGGTCTAAGTATTAGACTGTTACGTGACTTAGTCGTGTAATGGTGCCGTTTTGCTAGTTCAGGTGAAGTGTAACGCTTTATTTCCCTTTGTTCTCCCCCACTTATAGTGTAATTGTCTTAAGTATTTCTTTTATATTCTCTGTGCGTATATCATCATTTATATTCTCTCATTTCACCATCATACCTAATTTAGAAAACTTAATATGAGACAGAATATGTATTTTTACCCCATTTTCTTCCTTCACCATTTTTTTTTTCTTTTTTTGGTCTTTTTTGAGACAGGGTCTTGCTATGCAGTTCAGACTGAACTTGAGCTCCCTTTGTAGCTCTGTCTGACTCTGAGCTCAAAACTGAGGCTCTTCCTCAGTCTCCCGAGTGCTGGGATTATAGGCATTTGCCACCCCACCTGAGTTCTTTTTTTTGAGTTTTTTTTTTTTTTTTTTTTTTTTTTTTTTTGTCTTTTTCCTTTTTATCGGTACCGGGGATTGAACTCACGACTGCCTGCTTTCAAGGCAGGCGCCTATGCCACTGAGCTAAATCCCCAGCCCCGAGTTCACTTTTAATACTTCATGATTTCAAATCTTTTATTACTTCAGGTGTACTTAGAGAAATTCCTTCACTCATTCTTTCAGGGTAGCTCTGATGACAAGTCTTCTTAGTTTTTCTGCATCTGAGGAAATCTTGATTCCTACATCATTTCTTAAGTACCCTGAGCCTGAGTTCTTTTGCTTTTGCTCTTGAGAAATAGTTTGCCACTTCCTCCCGCCCTCCATGGTTTCTAATGAGAAAGGCACTGTCCTTTTACGATTTCTTCCTTTGGTAACATTTCATTTCTCTCCCACTTTCAAGATTTATCAAGTTTTCAGAAGTTTGACTACCCCACGTTTTGGTGTAGATTCCATTGCATTTATCCTGTTTGGGCTTATTCAGCTTCTTTGATCTGCAGGCTTACATCGAGTCTTGCCAAGTCTGGGATATTTTCAGCTGTGATTTCTTCACACACTTTTTCAGTGCTTAAATCTCCATTTGGTGCTTCATATCTCATTTCTTTGCTGAAACGATGTTTTTTATGTATGTTTACTGAAGCATTTTCATGATTTCAACTTAAAATTCATGTTAAATATGCCACCTCTATCATTTTGGTGTTGGCATCTCTTTATCCTTTTTTTTTTTTTCATCCAGGTTGAGATTTTCTTTGGTCTCTGTATGATGAATGATATTTGAGACATACATTTAATGTATTGTACAACACTGGATTATTATTACTTTTTTTTTTTTGCAGAACTAAGATTGAACACCAGACCTTGCACTCACCTACATTCTCAGCCTTTTTTTTGTTTTAAAAGCAAAACAATAAAAAAAGGTCAGAAATGATACAGAATTTCAAAAAAGAAAAAAGGTAGGGAATTAACACCAGTTAATATATTGCATATTATCATAGAACTAGTTGTTCAGCTCACAAATTTAGATACAAAAGTTATCAAAGACAGAACAAACTGTTCTTTTTGATAGATTAGTAGTATAGTTATCTATCTAGCAGACATATACATACATACATTTATATATGTTTACCAACAAACATATACTCTTTTCCTTTCTTCCTTTTTTTCCTTGTCTCATCCCAGTAATTCTGTCCTTTTGAGCATTTTCTTTCCCTTTCATTATTACAATATCTATTGTACATTTTGGACAATACTGATTTTTCAGATTTTTATTTTTTTGTACTAGAGATATTTATCATATAAATATGATACTTATAAATGTGAATTTGATTTATGTTACTTATGAGTATGGTCTTAAGTTGCCTCCACTTACGTACAAAATCCTCAAGATTATCATTTTTTACAACTGAGTAATATTCCATTGTATAAAAATGCCATGTCTTTTTTATCCATTCTGTGATTGATGGGCATTTTGGTTGTTTCCCAGAAACAACCAAATTGTGCTGCAATAAACATAGGTGTACATATCATTGTAGCATGACATTTTCAGTTTTGGGGGGAAATATCCAGAAGGGGAATAGCCGAATTAAATGGGACTTTCAACCCTAGTTTTTTGAGGAATCTCCACACTGATTTCCACAGTGGTTGCACAAGCCTACACTCCCACTAGCAGTGGAAAGGGTTCCTTTTTCCCTACACCAACATTTGATATCAGTTGGTTTGTTGATGGCAATCATTCTTTCTGGACTGAGATGGAATTTCAACATTGTTTTAATTTGCATTTCTTGAATGACCAGTGATTGTGAACATTTCTTCATGTATTTATTTGCCTTTTGTATTTTTTCATCTGAGAAGTGTATGTTCATTTCAGATGCCCATTTTTGGATTAGGTCTTTGATTTGGGGGGACCTGATGTTTTTCAGTTCTTTATATGTTTTGGATATAAGCCCTTTGTCTGACGGACAGCTGCCTAAGATTTTTTCCTATTCTGTGGGTTTTCTCTTCACTCTGTTGGCAACTTCTTTTGAACTACAAAATCTTTTTAATAAGAAATCCCAGTTGTTGATTCTTTGAAGTGTTTCCCATGCAGTTTGCTTTTATTCAAGAACTCTTTGCCTACTCGTATGTCTTCAACATTTCTATCTACCTTGTCTTCCAGTAGATTTAGTGTTTCTGTCTTAATATTTAGATCACTGATCCATTTTGACTTTAGTTTATTGCATGATGATAAACATGGGTCTAGTTTCAGTCTTTGGCATGTGGAAAGTCAATTTTGCCAGCACCATTTATTAAAGAGACTATCTTTCTTGTGAATATGTTTAGCTCCTTTGTCAAAGATAAGGTGGCTCAGTGTCTGTAGTTGTGTCTGCATCTTTTCATTTGTTCCAGTGGTCCTCAGGTCTGTTTTTTTTTTTTTTTTTCATTGCCAGTACCATCTTGATTTTATCCCTGTAGCTTTGTAGTATAATTTCAAGTCAGGGATTATGATGCCTCCTGCCTTGCCTATTTATTTTGTATCCAGCTATACTGATGAATCTGCTTATTAACTCTAGATAGAGTTAAAAACTTTTGATAGAGTTTTTGGATATTCTATGTAGAGTACCATGTCATCTGCAAATAGTGATAATTTAAATTCTTCTTTTCCTATCCTTATTCCTTTTATGTCTTTTTCTTGACTCATTGCTCTGGCTAATGATTCCAGAACTATATTGAATAAGAGTGGGGATAGTGGACATTCTTGTGTTGTTCCACATTTTAGGTTAAAAACTCAGTTTTTGTCCATTTAGTATGGCTTTGGCTGTTGCTTTGTCATAGATGGCTTTTATTGATAGAGACTATCTATTCCAAGTTTCTGTAAAGTTTTTATCATGAATGAGTACTGGACTCTGTAAGAGTCTCCATCTGTTGAGATAATCATGTGATTTTTGTGTTTGGCTTTGTTGATGTAGTGTATTACATTTATTCATTTACTGTGTTAAACCATCCTTGCATTCCTGGGATAAATCTCACTTAGTCATGATGTATAATCTTTTTGATGATTTGTTGTATTCTCTTTGCCAGTATTTTACTGAGAATTTTTGCATCAATGTTCATTAGGGATATTAGTCTATAGTTCTCCTTTTTGGTTGGGTCTTTCTCTGGTTTTGGTATCAGAGTAATACTTATCTCCAGGAATGTGTTAGTAAGAATGCTTCCCTTTTAACTTCATTGAAAAGTCTGAAGAGTATTGGCATTAAATTTCTCTAAATTTCTTGTAGACTTCAGCTGTACATCCATCAGGACCTGAGCTTTTCTTTGTTGGTAAGTTTTTAATCACATTTTTAATTTCAGTGGCTGATACTGTGTTATTCAAAAGTGTCACATCTTCTTGATTCAGCTTTGGTAATTCATATGTTTCTAGAAATCTGTCCATTTCCTCTGTTTTCCACCATATGTGAGTAAAGATTTTCAAGGTAGGTATTCAGGATCTTCTGAATTTCCATGGGATCTGTAATTTCACCCTTTTCATTCCTTGTTGCATGAATTTGAGTTTTTTCTTTCTTTTCTTGATAAGGTTGGCTAGAAGTTTATCAATTTTGCTTATTCTCTTAAAGAACTAGTTCTTTGATTGTTTGTATTATTTTCTTAGTCTCAATTGCATTAATTTCTGCTCTGATTTTTTTTTTTTTGTCTTTTTCCTTTTTATTGGTACTGGGGATCGAACTCACAACTGCCTGCTTGCAAGGCAGGCGCTTATGCCGCTGAGTTAAATCCCCAGCCCCTCTGCTCTGATCTTTATAATTTCCTCTCTTCTATGAGCTGTGGGTTTGACTTGCTCTTTTTTTTTTAGAAGTTTGAGGTGCAGCATTAGGTTATTTGTGCTCATTCAGTTTTTCTGATGTGAGAATTCATTGCTATATATTTCCCTCTTAGGACTGCTTTCATTGCATCCCACAAGTTTCAGTATGTTCTATCTGAATTTTCATTGAATTGTAGGTATTGCTTAATTTCTTTAATTTCACCTGTAACCCATTGGTTGTTCATGAGGTTGTCATGTAATTTTCATGTGTTTATGCAGATTGTTTTTTTTTTTTTTGCCAGTAATTTCCAGTTTCAGTGCACTATGGTCAGATAATATTGCATGAGATAATTTCAACTCCTTTGCCTTTACTTAAGAATGTTCTATGGGGGGGCTGGGGATTTAGCTCAGAGGCATAAGCGCCTGCCTTGCAAGCAGGCAGTCGTGAATTCGATCCCTGGTACTGATAAAAACGAAAAAGCTCCCCCCCCCCCGAAAAAGAATGTTCTATGGGCTAATACATGGTCCATTTTAGAGAATGTGCCACGCACAGTAGAGAAGAATGTGTATTTGGATATGCTTGAGTGAAACACTCTGTAAATGTCTACTAAGTCCATTTGTTCACAGGTTTGACTCAGTTCTGTTATTTCTTTGCTAACTTTTTAATCTAGTTGATCTATCTCTTTGTGACAATGGGATATTTCAATTCTGTTATTGCATATTTGTTTTTTTATTTAGTATTTAGTGTTTTATTTAGTAGCTTTTATTAGTATATTTCTTATATACTGTTTTCTATCCTTTGACTTTTAGTCTATGAGTTTCCTTTTGAGTCACATGTGTTTCCTGTGTACAGCATATTGTTGGATCCTGTTTTTTGGTCCATTGTGCCAATCTGTTTCTTTTAACTGGTGACTTGAGGCCATTTATATTGATGGTTATAATTGATATGTAGTAACTCAACTTTGTCACCTTGTTTTCCCATTGTTGGTTTCCTGCTTTTTCCCCTTGTATAATTGCTTGCCCTATCTGGAGGTTTCTTTCTGTTGTTGTTCTGGAAATTGTAGTTATTTTTATCTCTAGTATGTCAGTACTCTTTCTAGAGTTGGTTTGGTGGACATTAATTTCTTCAGTTGTTCTTTGTCATGGAAATATCTTATGTCTTCATTAATTTTCAAAGAAATTTTTGCAGGGTATATCAATCTGGGTAGAAAGTTGTTTTCTTTCAGGACTTGAAACACTTCACTCCAAGCTCATCTTGACTTGAGAGTCTGTGCTCAGAAGTCTGCTGTGATTCTAATAGGTCTTTCACTTTCCTTGATAGGTGAGTTGTGTCTTTAACAGATTTTAATATTGTTTTTATGCTGAATTTTGGGGATCTTAATAATTTTATGCCTGGGTGTAGATTTATTTTGATTATGACTGTCTGGTTGGTTGCTATTCTTCCTGGTGTAAAAAAAAAAAAAGAATGTAAGCAACCTCAGTATTGTTCTTTCATTTCTCAAATGACCAGTCACGTTGAATATTTTTTACATGTATTTTCGCAGGTGTCTCCATTTCTTCCTCTGAAAAATGTCTACTCATTTCTGTTGACCATTTTTTTTTTTTTGGATCTTTAAAAAATTTTTTTGGATGGTCTTTTATATTTGAGAGGTGGAGCCTACTTTTTTTGAGTTCTTTATATGTTTTAGATATTAATCTTTGGAGATGTTGCCGGCAAATTTTTTTCTTCTTCTATAGATGGTTTTTATTCTGTTGTTTTCTTCAAGGTACAGGAACTTTTTAATTTGATATAGTCTCATTTGTTGACTCTTGCAATGTTATTTGTTGACTATTGCAACGCACAAGAAATAACAGCAATGTTATTTCTTGTGCAACTGACTTTCTGTTTGGGAAGCCCCTATCTTCCAGGAGGTTAAGTGCTTCTGTTTCAATATTTAATCTTTGATATATTTTAATTTTAGTACATGGTGACACATTTGGGTCTCAGTTGTCTGTATGTAAATAGCAAGCTTTCACAGCACAATTTGCTGGTGAGGCTACCCTTCAGTGTAGGCTTTTGGTCCCTTTTTCAAAGAGCAAATAGCTGAATGTGCCCAGAGGTGTTTCTGCATCCTTTATTCTGTTCTACTAACCTACATGTTGTCATTTGTTTACAATGCCATGCTGTTTTTAATCACCATAGCTTTGTAATATAACTTCAAGTCAGGTATAATGATGCCTTCTACTTTGCTCTTATTGGCCAGGATTGGTTTTACTATTCTGGGTCTCTGTTTGTCCCATATGAATTTTAGGACTGTTCTCTAGTTCTGTGAGCAATGCAGTTGGTATTTTGATTGGGATTGTAGTAAATCTTTATATCAGTTTTGGAAGTAGGGCCTTTTCTACAATATTGGCTTTGCCTATCTAAGAACAGAGGATATCTTTTCTAATTTCGATTTCCTTTCTCAGAGTTGTATAGTTTCTGTTTTAGAGGTCTTCACTTCCTTAGATTAATTGGTAACTTTTCTTGATGCTACTAGAATGGCATTTTCTGTTTTCTTTGTGAGTTCATTATTGATATATAGGAGTACTATAGGTTTTTGGAATTTGATTTTCTATCCAGTTACATTGCTGAATTTGATTAAAATTTTAGAAATCTTTAGGTGGAGTTTTTGGAGTCTTCTGGCCAGAGGTTCATGTTATCTGAAAATAAAATTTGATTTCTTCCTTTCCTATATTTATCTCTTTCATCTCTTTCTCTTGCCTGACTGCTCTGGTTAATGTTTCATGTTTTTTTACTGAAGGTGAGTGATGATAGTTGACATTCTTATCTTGTTCCTGGTTTTAAAAGTATCACTTTTAGTTTTTCCCCATATAATATGATCTTGGCTGTTTGTCATAAATTGCTTTTTATCAGATTAAAGTGTGATTTTTCTAAATTCTCTTCAGGATTTTTAAAAATCAGGCGTGTATTTTTTTTCAAAAGTGTTTTTCAGCATGTATTGATATGATCATGTGATTTTTTTCTTTGTATTTATGTGATGTATTAATTTATTGATTCCATGTGTTTAACCTTGAGATGTATTACCTTTTTGATAATTTGCTGCATTCTGTTTGCCAAGATCTTACATAGAATTTTTGTGTCTATATTAAGGAGACTGGCCTCTGGTTTTGTCAGTCAGGTCTCTTGTTTTATGATCAGAGTGACACTAGCTTCCAGGAATGAAAAGTTTAGCAATATTAGTGTTATAACTTCCTTGAAGATATTGTAGAATTCAGCAGTGAATCTATCAGGGCCTGGAGTTTTGTTAGTTGGTAAGATTTTTATCATTGCTTCAGTTCCATTGCTTGTTACTGGCTTGTTCAGAAATTTTACATCTAAGACTACACTTTCAGGAATAATTTTTATGGTTGGTTACTAGAAGAATTTCTCTGATCATGTGAAGTACCAGAATTTTTACATCTTCTTGGTTCAGTTTTGGTAATTCATATATCTAGTCATCTATCCTTTTCTTCAAAAAAAAATTTTTTTTTGTCTTTTTCATTTTTATCGGTACTGGGATTGAACTCACGACCGCCTGCTTGCAAGGCAGGTGCTTATGCACCTGAGCTAAACCCCCAGCCCCCCTTTCTTAAAAATTTTAAATGTGTTGAAATACAACAAATTTGCATGAAGTCTTCATAGTAGCTACTAAAGATTTCCTGGATTTTGGTGGTCTGCTGTGACATCACCTTTTTCATTCCTAATTTCATTGATTCTTGGCTTTTTCTCTGATATGTTCTCACTACATAAGCCAGACTGGCCTTGAGCTCTATGAACCCCAGGCTGGCTTTGAATGAAAGACAATCCTCCTGGGTCAGCCTCCCATGTGATGGAATTGCAGATGTGCACCATCACATGTGGTTCTGCCCTTTTTCTTGAAAGATCTTTCTACTGGACAAATAATTCTTGGTTGACGGGCTGCTCCATTTCTCTCAATTTGTATTGTATCTGATGGGAAATCTGCAGGAACTTCTATTATTGTCTTTCTCCATGTAATGTGCCTTTGGGGGAGAAGGGTCTGATTTTATAATTCCCTTTTCACTGATTTTAAGAAATTTGCTTATGTTGTGCCTTGATGTAGTTTTCTTCATTCTTACATTTGTTTTTAGGTCCCTGGATCCATGGATTTATAATTTTCATGAAATTAGAGCATCATATTTTCAGACTATGCAATTTGGGATGCACATGTGTTTATGTGAGATTCTACATAGTAATGTCCCCCCTGCCTTTTTGTGGTCTCCCTTTCTACTGCAATGTATCTGTTTTCCAATGCCCAATTCATTCATCTCATCCAGGGTATTTTTTAATTTCAGGTACTGCAAATTCCATCTTTTAGTCTCTTAAAAATATCTTCCAGCTTCCCACTTAATATGTTCAGCTCTTCCTCTAAGTTCTTGAACATGTGGACTATAGTCATAAAAACTGCAGTCAGGGTTCTTGTCTAATTTATCATCTATTTCACCTCTAGGTGTGTTTCCTTTGCTTTGCTTTTTGTGGTAAGCAGAATAAGCACACATCAACATAGAGATATACTATAGAGGAAAAGGAGTTTTACAGATGTCACTGAAGAATTCTGACAGAGGCATCTCCTACAATCAAGAATCTTTATAAGACAGAGAAAAAGAGTTACAGAGTTAAGAGTGGTATGGGGCTTTGGGCAAACAAATATGGAATCTGAAAGGAAGAGAAAACATATTCTCCTGACAAAAATGGAAATATATCCCCAACTGGGTTAGACTTCTGGTCTTTAGAGAACATTTGTGTTAGTTTATGCCATTTATGAGTTTGTGGTATCAGTTACAAAGACAACAGGAAACGAGTTATGTTTTCCAGGTTTTTTTTATGCCTGGTAATTTTTGATTGGATGACAGAAATTGTTTACCTTGAGTGCATATTGTGTATTTCTACCATTATCAGGTGTGATAGAAAAGTGAGTGTTTAAAAACACAAAAATATCACTACAGTAAGACACTTGCTGTTCATCTTACTCAGGATGCCCCCCTTCACTGTCTGAGCAGTTTTGGAAGTCTTCTTTCATGTACTTTCGTGGCTGCCTTAAATATCCTGCATTAGTTAAAAACATTTATGGCAATTTCAGCCAAAAACATTACAGTATACCCCAACCACCTTACTCAGTAACTCTGGCGCAGAGTAACGTGTGGCTTTTCTACAAAGACAAAATGCCCACGAAAGGTCAATGTCCTGAATCAAGTCACCGAGGCAGCCACAGCAGTGCAACTAAAGACATTCTGGAAAGAGGCTTCCAGAACTGCTTCGAAAAGTGGTGAGCATGATGGTAAGTGGGTTCAATTAGGAGAATTCTGGGGAGGATTAATGGTAGTATCTTACTGTAACACATTTTGACAAAATTTTGATTGCACCTCATATTTTTAAAAAGGATCAGTTTTTGTTAGGTAGGCCTAAATATGTGCCTTGTCTGGGGCTAAACTTTATCTCCTTGTGAGGGATGGATCTTCTAGTAGTAAGGTGACTTTTGAAAGTGTGGATTTCCTTTCTTTTGGCACCGGGGATCGAACTCATGACCACGTGCTTGCAAGGCAGGCGCTTATGCCACTGAGATAAATCCCCAGCCCCAATAGTAATTGATGTTCCTCTTTTTTTTTGGTACTGGGGATCGAACTCACAACCTCACGCTTGCCAGGCAGATGCTTATGCTGCTGAGCTAAACACCCATTTCCAACCTGTTGGGAACAGGCGTTACTTTTGGCCTTGGTTTGGTGTGAGCTCTGGCTACTACACCTTCTTTTTCTTCCCAGTGTCTCTTTCCCCCCAAGGAAAAACGCTTCCCCAAACCGGTAGATTCCTCACATGCATGCATGCACTAATTAACGTCTTCCGTTGAACACTGAAGGAAAACCTTCAGGTCACTGGAGGCCTCTTGTGTACACTGTTCCTATTTCCAGGACCCTGTTCTCTGAATTCTGGCTACCTTGCCCAAACCTCAGCTTGAGACTTTCAGCTTCTGCCTCTATTCCCATCCATCTCATTCTGCCTGGAAACACTCACCAACCAGTGAGTTCGGGCGACTGAGGCCTCATTCCCTTTCCCAATTTCTGAAGAATTCTCATCCTTTAATGCCTGATGTTCAGTGTTTCACACACCTTCTGTTTTTCAGTTGCTTCATTGGGAAGGTGATCCATTTCCTGTTACATCTTGGCTGGAAGTGCAACAGGGAAGCTCCAATTTAAAATTAAAAAAAAAATTTCTTAATTTCATGTAATCTCCTAGAATATATTTCCTAGTTTTTCTAGAAGCACTAACACCTTTCCTAGTAATGTACATTTTATGTACACATACACTTTTTTTTTTTATTATGCTATGGGCAATGAGAAATTCGACTTCCAGGAAGATGGCAGGAGTGGGGAGCCTCCGAAAAAGCCTCTTGCTGAACTGACATCCTGACACTGAAATATAGCACTATGAACAAGAGGGATGTGGGTCCCTGAGACCCATGAAGGACCTGAAGTGGGAATTGAAGCCCACAGGGAGAGCAGAAAGACTTCAACCAAGGAGATGGCAGGCAGCAGTGTCTCCCTGAACTCTGCTTGGGAGAAACAGGTTGAACCTGTGGATGTAAGGCGACTACTGATAACCTGATGCCTCCATAGAGAAATGCACTGTGGAATGGGGCAGTGGCTGGTGAGTTCAGATGTCCCCCAGGAGAGGGTCATTTCATCTCAGACAGGAGCCAACTGAATGCAGAGCAGCGTTGGGCCAGCTCTATCTAGTGACTTGCAGGGACAGGGTCAGGCAGCCCAAGTGAGGTGGGTAGGAAGCACATGAATTGCTTCGGGCTCAACAAATGCAGTTCCAGCCTCACAGCCACAAACCAGCCTGAACTTCAGGGGAAGTCGCTGGGATTACCCACTACCCTGATGAAAAGCTACCTCTGGCTTGCTGGGATTAATCAACTCAGACTGTCTGCCAGCGACAGCAGAGACATTTTAGAGTGCACCTTTTTTTTTTAAATACTGAGTCTCTGGATATAAGGTAAACATGCAAGTTGTAACAATGGTGACTTACACAGGAAAAGTAATGGATGTTTAGTAAGTATTAAACATCAACCCTATTTGGCAAAGGATATTTAGCCTTGAGGTCAGATCACAGAAGTGTCCAAGTTCTCATACCACCAAGGAAATACATGAATGATGAAGAGAGAGTAATAATAGATTCTTGGTGTAGCTAAGTGAAATCAGTGGGATTAACTAAATGGGGTGGTGCAGGCAAATAGATTAAAACAGGCTGGTTTTCTAGACATTTGGTTTAGCAATGAATGTTTAGAAAAATTGATTGAAGAGAAGGCAGTCTGAAGGTTTCCATTATCTCCTAAGGAACCAGGCATGTAAGAACTGTACTGTTCAAATATGCTTTTTTTGGATATCCAGCATTCCTTTTCATTTTCTATAAGTACCTGGGTTTTCCTCAGAAAATTTTGGTGAGATCATCGGTCCAGGTGTCTGCTTCCCATACAAAGTTCAAGGTGCTTTACTGTCTTCAGCACCAGACTGAAGACATTTACATAAGTTTAGTCCATTCTACTTTTTGGTTTGTTCAATGATTTTGAATCCTGAGCAAATGATTATAGTAAGGCTGGACCCAACTCATGTCATCAGTAACCCAGCTACACTGTACCATGCCTGCCATTACTAATTCCCACCATTTCTGATCCTGATTCTCCAACTTAAAACAACAGTTTTGAGTTTTTAATCTTTGTAACAAGTGACTTTTTGTTCATGTTTGAGATAGCTGTTTCTATTGCCAGCAACCTAAGAGCTGAAAATGGACACAATGTAACATGGAACCTTGCCTCTTGAGGTAGGGTTTTATGTGGCCTTTTTAACTAAAGTAGCTGTTTGACCACAGGTTCAAAGGGGACCACTTGTGAAAGATGGCTGATACAGTGGTCACTCAGGTTTAGGCTGCAGTCACAGACCACACAGATCTCAGGAAATTCACTGTACATTGTGGTGACCAGGCAACAGCTTGAGAATGGTGTCTGGAATGAGCAGGTATATTTTTGTTTTAAATCTTTATTAATACACGTTTGCAGTTTACATTCATCATAGGGAGCTGGTACCTGTAAACAATGCATCTCCTTTCATCTCCTTTCCACTCCCTCCCCTCTCATCATCCTCCTTCTCTTGGTTCTCTTTCCATTTGCAAAAGATCTGAGCAAGGTCTTCTTAAGATTACTGGACAGTCACCCAGTAATGCAGAGCCTGGGTGGTAAGAACTCTGCATTGACAGAAATATTTTAGGCTGTGAAACTGAAAATGAAGGGGCGGGGGGCTTTATTTTGATTTCCACATTTGTAGAAGTGGTTTGCCAAATGGAGATTTTTGAAGGGCAATTCATAAAGTATAAGACACTACATAAATGAGGTTACACTAGAGTCTAATTTACTGAACAAATTATATTAACAGACCACCATGGAGTTAGGCTGGTGTAACTGTCATTTCTTTAGTAGTGAAGCTCTCTATTACTTGCATGTGATGATCTACTTTACATTAAGTGACATTAAAATTTAGTTTCTCAGTCATTCTAGCCACATGTCAAGCACTCAGTGCCCATATATGGCTAGTGGCTGTACTAGTAAAAGTCACTCCTGTCGTAAGGGAAAATTCTATTGGACAATGTTGCTCAAGAGCAACAGATGTCAGAATGAGATTCGGTGCGCCATGTTTTTAGTGGACGGATGCTGAGGTTTTTAAACCAGTGCTTCCTAGTTTAACTGAAGGTATCTTTTCCACGCCGGACTCACCACGCCTGGCGCTGGGCTGAAACCTCACTCCTGACTGCCCTCATGTGACAGACTGATACCTAGGGAGGCCCCTGCTCCGCCTAGGTCAGTTCTCTCTGTACCACGTGCTGCACATGCAGAGGGTTAAGTGGATGCAGTGGTGAGTCTTTACTGTTTTTCAGCATCAACTCTTTCCCAGAGCTAGGCCTGCCCCGGCCAGGGCACAAATCTATCCTGAGGCTACTTGCAGTTGAGGCAGGATTTCTCCTTGCTTGTTGGAGGCACCTACACTTATTTCTGGCTCAGCAGGCATCCTCACCTCTTCCTCTGGCAGCAGTCACAGCTCCTGAGCAGGGGTCCCCACCATTCCCATGACAACTGTGTCCTCTCATTCGACTTAAAAGTCAGGTCCATGTGCTGTAGACTGGTGCTGCTCAGAGCCCGGTATGAGAAAACTGCTTCTTCAGGAAGCATTTTTATGGTTTGCACAAATGTAACAGACTACAAAACAGTAATTAGTCACTAACGAGTAAAATCTTTTTTTTTGTTGTTTGTGTTTTAAAGACAGGGTCTTGCTATGCAGTTTGTGCTGGCCTTAAACTCATTATGTAGTGCAGGTTGGCCTTAAAATTGCAGTGATCCTCCTGTCTCAGCCCCAAATACGAGGATTACAAGTATTTGTCACCACATCCAGTTTAAATGAGATTTTAAAATAGCTTTTTTCTTAATAGGCATTTCTAGTATTAAACAAAAAAACCTTAATTAAAAAATTAAACTTCCATTCACTAAAACAATTCTGGTCAGAGATGGTGGCGCATGCCTGTAATCCCCGCACTTGGGAAGCCGAAGCAGGAAAATCATTGAGACCAGCCTAGGCTACAAAGTGAGCTCAAGGCCAGCCTGAACTGCATAGCGAGACCCTTTCTCAACAAAAACACAAAACTGATCCTGAAGATTCCAACAAATATTTAAAAGATAACTATGAAGTTTCTTTCTCCAAAAAGAGACTGTTCTTGAGCGCTGCCTTTCAGAGCAGTCCCTTCAGTGTCTGTCCATGTATCTCATTGCCACTCCTCCTGCCCACACGCTTGGGACGCCCCTTGGAGAGTTGCCTAGGGAACACATAGCCCTCCTTTCAAAGTCTTCCATGACAACGATTTTCCTCTCTTGAGCATAGCTATTTTTGAATCTGCCCAGAGCCATCTGGACACACATTTAGGGAACACAGTGGGTACCAAACAAAAATAACAACAACTAGGTAGTGCTATCTTAGATTGAAAATTAAAAATGGAAACTCAGAGAACCTAAGTGCCAGGAGCAGGGTCGACTGCTTTCACTTCTATGGCCTTGCCCTCCTTGCCTTTGTGAGGCTGAGTCCCTCAGCTGACAGACAATGGAGAGTTTCAGAGTTCGCTAACATGATGCCAGTCAATTAACTGGCAGATGGAACCTACACATGGATTTGGTGTGGCTCCAAAGTGCCTGTAGAGGGCTGGAGACATAGGTCAGTGGCACAGTGCCTGCCTGGCAAGTGTGAGGTCCTGAGTTCGAGTCCCAGTACCCCACCCCCCAAAGTCCCTGCACAATGAGATGAAGTCATCACCTACACCTTGGAGGGCAGGATGGCCTGGGATGAAAGCCCGCACTGCCTACTAGTTAGGTGGTGATATTAATTTCCTTCTTATTTTTATGAAGTGCTCATGTGCTTATCAGATGACACTGTCACCTATTTGTCTGCCCCAGGCCCAGGGTTGGTTCTTGAAAAGGGGAACTTTCTTTACCTCCTTATTCCTCGCAACTAATCGACACCCACATACACACTAGGGACTCCATGAAGGGGCACTGTTCTGTGGCTGACTGTACCCTCAGGCACATCACCCTCTTCATCTCCACATTCAGGTCTGTGAGGCGAGCAGGTGTTTAAAGGCCCTTATAGATTTAGAGTCAAACCTGTAAGTGCTCCTGCTGGCTCCACTGAAGAATTCCCAAGACATGACACTTCCTATTTGTCCCCAGAGGGACCTCTGATGTTAATGTTCTTCCTCCTGCCTTTTGTGCCGTAAGACCCAAGAAACCCCTCGACTACGGCAAGAAGCAGAACCAGAACCAGGAGGTCCGAGTGGTAAACTGTGTGTTCCCGCATGTTGAACAGAACCTACATATTTGGTCCCTTAGTGTATTATCTTGCCACTTCACCTCTTCAGAATTTGACCCTGTTTTCAAATAAGTCCCAGGAAGGATCATTACTGATTTTTTTTTCTTCCCAAGATACTCTGTTATTGACATAAGAACAGCGTCTGGCAATCTGAAAAAAAGAAAAGGTAATTTACATTTCAGTTTTGTGGAATCGGACATGGAAATGTTGTCACAGCCTGAAGTCTACACATATCTTCCTGGTGGTAGAAGACCAAGGACACTTCTTCACTGCAGACAAGAAAGGTTCAGTGTGACCAGTCACTGACCTTCCATTATGGACGAAATTCCACGGCTGCCAACAATTTAGGGTGACAAGTCCTGCTCCTCTGCTTACACTCCAGGAACTCACACTTCCCCTGCACACTCTGGGAACTAGGAGGAAAATGAAACCATGGGTTCTCTCCAGACAGCAAGCCATTCTTTTGAACATCATGACTTTTGGGAAAGAGGCAGAGGCCTGATGGTTCAGAAGCCCTTTAATTCCATCATCTCTGTTCAGGGCAAAGAGCCAGGAACTTTCCCTGTCCATTCTATCCTGGCCCACAGAATGTTACATCAGGGAGGCTGTGGGCTGGGAGTCATGAGAATATGAGGCCTGAATCTCTAGCTCAGCAGAGAGAGAATCAGGGGAGGTTTTGGATACCATCAACTGTGGACTACAAATTCCCACAGTGATAAAGGGGACATGAGAAAAGGGCAACAAACAGCCACCAACCATTGTGGACAGGAAAGCAGGGCACAAGTCCAGTGATCAAGAGAACGCAGTGAACCTTTGCTGAAATAGCAAGTTACTGATGATATAAAAGCAACTGAGGACTCTCTTTTTCACTAGGGCCAGGAATCTGCTTTACGCAAATCTGCTAAAACTTTCCCACTAGCTTGTATCTTTAAACCACTCATGTACTCTTGTTTTCAAAGTGGTAGTTGAGGGACTGGAGATGTAGTTTAGGGAGAAAGCACTTGTCTAACATTGTGCAAGGACCTCGGTTCAATTTCCAGCATCACAAAACCAAACCAAACCAAAATAAAATAAAATAAAAGGAAAAAACCCTCAAGTATTTGAAAGGCAAAATAAATTCAAATAGCAAAGAGGACAGGCCTTTTAATTTCCATAATTACAAAAAAGTTTTCTAATTCCAGAGTACCAAACACCTCTCTCCCTAAAAACAACAATCTTCAAGACTGTAGAAACAAACCCCGCTCTCCTAAGACTGTGGTGGAGTAACCTGACAATAATTCACAGGTTAGATCTAGTGGGAGATGAACACCATAGATTCAAATCCCAGGCACAAATCACTTTGTCTCTTTCAGTCACACAGTACACGCTTCCCACCCAGCAGCTCCTCTAACCCATGCTAGGGATTGTATAGGTAGATAGAGGCCTGTCATCTTCTTCAAAAGACTGAAAATGTGCCCATTATTGCTGGTTGACAGCCACCTGAAGTAGAATATTAAGATATCATTCTACTACAAAATATGAATGCTTGGAAAGAATAATTAAGACAATATTTTCTATTTTGAGCTGTAAATGAATTGATCCAAACAACTTAGTTGAAATGGGAAAACAGGTGAAAGTTAAGAATTTCTGCGATTGGTTTGCCACATACTGATAATTTCTACAAATCACAGGCTGTCTCTCTGTTCACCATTACTTTTTTCCAAGTTTATTTTGTAATTTTTCTGAAGCACCAGGTCACATACTCTCTAGCATGTTTTTCGAGGTTTTTTCCCTCAATGGTGTGCCAGTCTCTTTGTGAAATTTAAGTTTCTTTTATGCTGTCCAAAGATTAAGTGAATGGAAATAAAACTTCCTGATTTTTAGTTTTAATATTATAAACCTCATAGATGCATTTTACTAAATTTTAAGTAGACATTTACAAAATTTAAGTATCACAACTGCTGAATTTTATAGAGTATATAAATCTTTTATCAGCCAACTATTTGCCAGCAATTAGATACCTAAGTAAGCATAACTGAACTTTATGGGTTTTGCTAATGATTTTAAGCTTTCAAAAAATAAAAGAACTAATCCATGGTCTCAGGCATAAATCTACACAATTATACAGTATGTGGAAACAGTGACGACAAAAGTCAACGTTTGCTGAATATTTGTGTATCAATCCAGGAGAAAATTACTATTAATATCATTTTACAAATGTTAAAAACCAAAGTTCAAAAAGGTTAAATTTGTACCCAGGGTAGTGTTCTATGGTCTGCCTCCAGAACCTCAGTCTTCGACATTACAGTAAGCTAAAAATTCATTTTCAAGATTTCAGGTACTGTTATCAAAGCATTTTTAAAAAACTAAAACCAAGGATGTCAAAGGATATACAGTGTAGGGAAACAGCTCAGTGGTAGAGGGCTTGCCTAATGCAAGGGTCTGGGCTCGAGCCCCCAAGCACAGTCAAAAAAAAAAAAAAAAAAGGAAGAAAAAAAGAAAAACAAAAGGAAAGAAAGTAGAAAGGAAAGAAATTATATGGGCTACAATGATAGGAATAAAAATTCAAGTGATTAACCCTACCACTTAATCTTGAATACCTGCCGGGTGACAGAGGAAAATCTGGCTACCTCCAGGGAGTCCTCTGGTTATTTAACGAGGCTTTAAACAGCTAATCGCACCTCTGAATAACAAGGAATTCCTACCTCACCATTAATTTTGTGCATGAGTGCTCTAACTCGCCAGTCAGTTTAAAAACCAAAAGTAACTTCATAGTACGAAGCGCAATTTATTTATAATCACCCCGCTGGTACAAACCAAATCCATACACACTCACGTGTAGGTCACAGAGCGCTGTGTTCGTCACGGACAGGATTCGCAGCCTCCGCCTCGCCTGCCCCGGCTGCGCTGCGCGCAAGGCGCCCGCCGTCCACAGGGGCCTCCGGGAGGCGCCGGCCGAGCGCGCGGCCAAGACTCCGTCCGCGCCGGCGCGTCTCGCGCACGTCGGGGCCGCGGATCCCGCCGTTCCCCGGGCAGCGCCGGCCGGGTGTCCACCCGTGGCGCTCGTCCCGGGAGCCGCCGTGCCTGCGGCTGCCGCCATCTTGCCGCCCTCGGCGGCGCGGCGCTCCCGGGCCGGGCCCGGTGGGGCCGGCGGAGGAGGAGGAGGAGCGGGAGCGGCGGGGCTCGCGGGCCCGCGCTGGGCCGGCGTTGGAGCTGGGGCCGGGGCCGCGAGCGGGTAGGGCGAGCCCGGCCCTCGTCCCCTCCTCTCGCTGCCGCTGCCACCGCCCCGCCAGGCCCGTCGCGGCCCGGCACCGCCCCTTCCGCCCCGCCGGCGTCCGCGCGGGCGGGCCCTACGTCAGCGCCGCCCCGCCCGGCCCAGCCTCGGCCTCGGCTCGCAGCGCGGCGGCGGCGCAGGTCCCTCCCCAGACATGGCCCTGGGAGGCGGCAGCGCGTGGCGGCCGCGGCGGCCCTGAGCGCGCCCCCGGCCCGCGCCCGCCCGCCCTGCAGGCCGCCTCCGCCCGCGGCCGCGCCACGGCCCCGCCGCCCCCCGCCCTGCCGCCGCCGGCCCCGCCGCCCGCGCGCGCCCGCCCCGCCGCCGCCGCCGCCGCCGCCATGGGCGTGCAGGGCTTCCAGGACTACATCGAGAAGCACTGCCCGAGCGCCGTAGTGCCGGTGGAGCTGCAGAAGCTGGCCCGGGGCAGCCTGGTGGGCGGCGGGCGGCAGCGGCCCCCGCAGACCCCGCTGCGCCTGCTGGTGGACGCCGACAACTGCCTGCACCGGCTCTACGGCGGCTTCTACACCGACTGGGTCAGCGGCGGCCAGTGGAACCACATGCTCGGCTACCTGGCGGCCCTCGCCAAGGCCTGCTTCGGCGGCAACATCGAGCTCTTCGTCTTCTTCAACGGCGCGCTCGAGAAGGCCCGGCTGCACGAGTGGGTCAAGCGGCAGGGCAACGAGCGCCAGACGGCGCAGCAGATCGTCAGCCATGTCCAGAACAAGGGCACGCCGCCGCCCAAGGTCTGGTTCCTGCCTCCCGTCTGCATGGCCCACTGCATCCGCCTGGCGCTCATCCGCTTCCACGTCAAGGTGCGGCCGGGGGCGAGTCGGGCGGGCCAGGGGTCTGGGGCCGGGGCTGGACAGCGTTCGCGGGGTCCCTCCGCCGGCTCGCGTGCCTCGTGCCGGGCGCCTCGTGCCGGGGCCCGTGGTCCCTCGGGCAGGAGTCCAGGCTGGATCTGGGGGCTCTCGGGCCCGGGTCAGGGCTGGGCCCGGAGTCGGGGCCCAGGGCGAGTCAGGCTAGCCCCGGAGCGGTTTTGCCTCTGCGAGAGCCGGGGCCCGGGGCGCCCGGTGCTGGGAACCCGTCTTATGGGAGCAGCTGGTCGCCGGGCTGTGTGCTGGACGCGGGGGGCGCCGGGATGCGGCCCGACGGCCCAAGATGGATGTCTGTGGTTCGGCCACGGCGTGTTCGAGTCCGCCCCTGGCTGGCCTGTTTGGGCCTCGGCGACGTGTGCGGACACTCGCGAGGTGGTGGGGAGCCCCACGCCACAGCTCGGACTGATAGTGCCACTGTGCCTTCTCCCGCTGCGGGTAGGCAGGCTGCCTGCTTGCCTTCGCCTTTTGCAGTAGTGTGCTCGTTTTCCGAATTGGTCCGTTCTTTCTCAGCAACAGGTTTCTCTTGGAGGCCTGAAGAACAAACATTGGTAGTAAGGGAACTGCTGGGGCGGCGGGGAGAAGCAAGCTGGGAGTAGGATCGCCTCGGTGGACGTGGAAGGCGAGGCGCGTGTAGGGGTCTTTGCACTCTGCTGCAGTTCAGCTCGCAGAACCTTGTGCTTTGGAAGATGAGATTTCCGAGAAATAGGCCGTTTTTGTGTGATTTTAAGGAATTATAACATCGACAGGAGGCGGTTTTGGAAGTTCTGTGACTTCGGGTTTGTTTTTCTGAACTTCAGTTTTCTGTATCTTTCGAAAGAAATGGTTCAAAATTAAGGGTTGAAAATTTGGGGCCAAGCAACTCAGGCCGTAAATTTGCAGGGTCTGCTTTTCTGGTGACCTTCAGCCGTGCCCGGGTGGGTGGGAGGATAGGTGATGAGAGTTCAGTCGGCCCGGACTGGCTCTGGCAGGGGCTTCTCTGCCGCAACTTGGGTGTAGAACTTCAGGGCCCAGGCATGGACTGGAAAGATAAGCACAGGGTTTGATCGCTTGTGTTTTCCTTGAAACCGCGTTTCTAGGGGGAGCTGTTTTGGTTTTTAATTTTTATTAATATTTTTTGGTAGCACGTCCACTCTGTCTTCCAGCTTGTTCTTTTATTCCTCTTGAAACTGTGCTCGAGTTCAAAGTTTGTGAAACTCTCTCTCTTCCTGATTGCCCCCGCTGCCTGTGCTGAGATGGTGGTGGTGAAGCCGAACTTGATAGCGGAAGTCCCGCCCCAGGCCCCTTTGCCATTGGTCGTGGTACGGGCAGAGGCGGCCGGAGGCATGGTGATTGGCTTGGGAGCCTGGCAGCGACTCGTTTGCCCGCCTCGGGAAGTTCGGCTGAGAGGCCGTGTGTGTGCGCTCACGCTTTCCGCCGGAGGCTCTCGGGAAGGAGAGGGATGCCATTTCTCGGATTTGATCCCTGCCTGTGGAAGCCCTGAAAGTGTTCCCAGTTTTGTCTTGTTCAGAGATGGGCAATTACTTGTAACGTGCTACTGTAATTATTATGAGATAAAAGCGAGCGTTCCTTACTTGCTTTATTTGGTAGCAGCACAGGCCTCACAGTATCTTCAGTGATTTTCCAGAGTATACTGTAACTATATTACTTTGGGTTAGCATCAGTATATCTGTATGGTGGCTGTGTATTTCGAGGGAACTGTCGGATTATTTTTTAATTGTAAAATCTCTACCCTCCTCTTTCAGTATATCACATACCTAGCAGATGCTCAGAATTTTGACCAATGTGTTTTTGGAATCTAGATTTAAATCACATTTTAGATAACACATTCCACTTAGGTCGCTGGATACAAGCTAATTTTGTCTATAGTTAGCTTTAGATAAGCTTTTGTTTTTGGTATAGAATTACAGTATAATGTCAGTTGCACAGATTAATATTGTAATGATTTTTCCTGGTGGTCCCTTACCTAACTAACAACCTCATCTAGGAAATTAAGTTACTAGGAATTTCTCAGCAACGAAGCTAACTGTCACGAAGTTTAGGTAGAGCAAAAACAAAAAGCTTTCCACCTTCCTCACTGAAGAACCCATTAGATCTTTCACTCACAGGCTGGCCTCTCCCTTTTAGATGTAATTCTAACTAACTTGGTTATCAATTTTTCGACTCAGCTTAAGAGAGTCTGCCAGAGCTCTGTTAATGGCATGAAGTGACAAGGGAGAAGATGTTAAAAAGCTATAAAAAGCAGACGTAATTCTGGGGCTATTTTAGAAAAAGAAAAACAACCCTACTCTTCAGTAATCCCGAGGGTAGTACACTTTTTATTCTGTAAGGATTTTTGGTAGAAAAATTTATCTCAGTATCTATTTAAGAGACTCAGTCAGTATATACTATTACCTTAAAAGACAGCCAAATAAAAGGGTGAAAAGTTAAAATCATGGTAAGGGCACACTGCATGAGGATTAAAATGGATGAAAACAATGTGGTGGACAGTACCAAGTACAGTACTAGCAAGAATGGTGAGCTCCCTAGAAACTTGCATGCTGCTGGTGGGGATGTAATGTGGCATCATCACTCTGAAAACAGTTTTATCTTCTTTAAAAAGCACGTATATATATTTACTGTATGCTAATTACTATTTTTTGAGACAGTTTCATTTATGCAGTTCAGGCTGACCCTGAACTCACTGTGTATCCTAGGTAGGTCTTGATCGTGGGGTAATCCTTCTGCCTCAGCCTTCTGAGTGCTACGATTACTGCCCAGCAATAATTCCTATTTTTAAAAAGGGTAAACATTGCCAAGGAACTGACACGGACACTTAACCATATAAAATGTTGCTTAAAAGACATGTCACTTAAAACAAAACAAAACAAAACTTAGATCTTATTGACCTAGCATTAAGCTGTAGCATTTTTATAAAATGACAGATATTTTCTTTTCATTCTTGCTTAAAGAGTTTTTTCTTGTAGAGTACTGCCGTGTTCTTTATACAGTTACATTTCTTAGACCACTAGAAGTTGGCCTGTGTGTGAATAAACTTTGTTTAGGAGACCAAACTTGAACTTGGCTTTAATGGCTGTGAGTGTTTTCTCTTCTGTATCTTCAGCCGTCATAACCTTTGAAATGCCAGTGAGTGACTTAAGGTTTATTTTAAAGTCTTGGTAGCGTTTAACACTTTCCTACATGTTTTCTGCAAGAGTAAGACTGGTAGCATATGTGTGAGGGTTTATCATGAAGCCCTTCAGTTCTTAACCTGAATTTGCTCCCATCGGAATTTTGTTAAATTGGTGCTCTGGTTTATTTACTTAGATCTTATGTAAAATGTTGTTCTTTGAAGACCGTGGAAGAATTTGAGATTAGACTATGGTTTTGGGTTGTTATGGTTAGCGTAACATGTTTGTTTTCAGGGGTGCTGAAGCATTTTCCTGTGTACCTGTGCGGGAAAGGACAGCCTGGCCTCAGGCCCTGCTTTCCATTGGTTTCCTCATCAGGGTCACTGCACTGCTGCTCCATTTCAGCTGCGCAGAACCAGGAACTGCCAGTTCACAAGTCACCCAAGCTGGGCATGGTTGCAGAGGCCTGTAATCCAGACTCAAGGCTGAGGGAGGAGGATTGCCTGGAGTTTTAGGACAGCCAGTGCCACATAGTGAGCTCAGGCCACCTTAAACTACATAGCAAGACCCTGCCTCAAAAACAGAACAAATAGGTCACCAGGAACCCCTTCTGGAAGGAAGGGCTGGCAGGTTGGTTGTTTGGGAGTACTTTGAAAGTATGGTTACGTGTTGCTCCCATGCCAGTTCTGAGAGCGAAAACATCTTTTTCCAGGTAGAACAGGAGTGGCAAAGCTTCATGAAGAAGAAAAGTACCCATTGCCAGAGCCTGTGAAGTGACAGTTTTTTATTCTAATTTCTTATTCTTAACCCTTAGAGAACTTTAATTGATTAGGAAATACTTGACCAAATCAGTCATCCTTGTTTAAAAAAAGTGCTTTTCAGGGGCTGAGGATTTAGCTCAGCGGCATAAGCACCTGCCTTGTAAGTACCTGGTTGGTCGTGAGTTAGATCCCAGGTACCGATTAAAAAAAAAAAGTGCTTTTCTGTAGTGTACCAGTTTTGTGATGCTATCCTGTGATGTCTTACTACAGGGACGATTTCCTAGGTGTAATGCAAACCTAAATCGCGTAGGCTTATAAGCTATGTAATAATCCTATTATTCCTAGGCTGCAAGCCTTGTAGCAGATTCCTATACTGATACCCTAGGGTCAGACAGTTGTAACACAGCTGTATCTGTTTGTCTGTCTGTCTATCTGCAAAAATGCAAGATAGGACTTCTTTATTCCCTTTAGAATCT